AAAGAGTAGCAGGGTTATTAAGGTCATTTGGTGTGGTTTCATTTCTCCAATTGATGTCGCCATAGTTAAAGTCCCCCATGGCAAGAAGATGGCTAGGGTTGAACTCCGTGCATTGTTAATTAGGGCTCTAAAGTTCCTTTGGTTTAATAAGCTACAGTTTGGGGATCTGTAGATTCACCCTTTAATTTAATTTTACACCACTTGGATTTTTCAAAAACATCCTCTCCCCACACCCTCATCTGGCTGGCTCTTAAGGTCTTGCCTAGCATAGATAACAACACCCCTCTTGCAAGTTGCTTGAGAAAGGTTCGTAATGAGTCATATCCATCTATAATGAACTTGCATTCCTCCAGGTTAATTCTCTTGTTCTTGTACAACAGTTCTACAGCACCTACTATATTGGGCTGAGGTACCTTCAGCAGTGGTTCAAACTCCTCTCTCTTATGAAGGAATATATGATTATTTATGTACATGAGTTTCCAGCCGGAATTTGTTCTCGGTAACGTCTCTGATCTTGATAGGGACTGCGGCCTTAGTCCATTCTCAGCAGCTGCAGTGTTTACTAAATAAGTGATATCCTAGTTAGCAGGAACAATTGATGTAGAGCACTTCCGGGAATGAGAAATTTCCGTGTTGCGAGACGACTCACAAAGCCGGAAAAAATCCCTCATCCTCGGAATTTTCCGAGTAATGGAAAAATGTTCTCGGAAGTTCCAGAAATTTCCCATTACATCATCTCTCGAACCCGGAAAAATGGCCCCAATCTGCGGAATTTTCTGGGTACCAGAAAATTTTTCTTGGAGTTTCTGGAAAATGTGTCCCTCAGAAAATAGTTCTTAAAGCTGGAATTTTCTGGACAAATTCAGGCCTTGGGCACGATTTTCTGAAAAAAAAATTCAATTCTGGCTATCGAAGAGTTCCGGGGTTGGGGAATTCTGTCTAACAGAAATATTACTATTGTATTTTGTAGGGTGTGGTCAGAGATGACATTGTTTACATGGCACTTGCCTCCTCCTGGGTGGGATGTAGAGCGGGCTGGTAGTATCCCGCTGTCTCCTGGCTCTGTACTGATGGTCTTACTTCCACTACCTTCCCTTTGTATATAACCCATGCACGTGTGTCCTTGTTCCTCATCGACTCCTCCCTCATATGCTTCAAGCAGTACAAGAGTTTTGTGTGCTGTTACCACTGCATTACTGTGCGATCTGGGTGTATGAATATACTGTATTCTGAAATTCATTGCTTCTTGCTAAGTTTTTTGCCTGCCAAATAACTTCCCATTTCTTATCCTCACTCACTAGTGTGATCCTGAGTGAGCGAGATTTGTTCTCCTGCTTTTGTCCCAGCTTCCTCACATCCTGAGGAGGGGCTAACATTTTCAGAGCCTCTGTATAATTATTCTGGTGTCTGGTGTAGCATCACCTCTAGTCTCCTCTTGTGATATCCCGATATAGAAGGTACAGGAAACCCTTAAGTATCATGAATTAATCTTTAAAAATTTGGGCCACTTCTCTATACGCTGACTTAGATATTGTTGGGAATGATAATGAACATTTATTATGTTGTTTATTTCTAGACTTGTGCCTATTAAGCTCTCCCCTCATAGAAGGAAGGACACTGGCACAAGCTTTGTGTGTAACCTCTTGTAGAGAGGAGGGAGTGATGAACGCTGATATATATTCCATGTGTACCTCCTCTCACAGAAAGTTGGGAGTGATGGATACAGGTGTAGCTTAACTGATCGTTGGTGAGACATACAGTAGTTTAAAAATTTATTTGAATACATTACACAAGGTACTTCTAAACATAGCTGTATACAGGCCAGGTTCCATTTGGGATACCTCAATATGTCTGTGTCAGTACCTCAATATGTCTGTGTCAGTACCTCAATTTCTTCCACAGGATAAAAAAAAATAACTTCGAGGTTTTTCTAAATAAAACAAAGCACAGTCACTCATAAATTGAGTGTACAATAACACAAAGTTCTAAACATTACACGAGAAAAATTCACAGTGATGCACAATGCTCAAATACTCCATATTATAATAATTTTGTTCTCATTCATTTAGTACTGCAGATCAAGAAATTTATTATAGATATATTAATTTCAGAGTATTTATTTGTGACTTGTTTTTAGCTTTAGTATATGTAAAATAATTTTATGAAATTCAAAGTTCATTGTACTGAAACTTTATTTTTATGTAAAATAATGGTAATTAATCTGTAGTATATCACAGTGAAACTTCGTTTGTCAATTATATGCATATTTAGAAATTGTATTGCTGTATTAGAAAATTTTTCAGTCCTTGGAACTCATTTACAGTGGTCTTATCACTGCAGTATGTTCAGCACTTCAGTATTTTCCAACAGTTCCATATATTTTAACATTCACATATTTTTTTCAGTAATAATAGGCATTTCTAAATGGCCTCTGTATAGTATACTGGCATCCCCCGAGTTACGGAAGGGTTCCATTCCTGAAAATATTTCTGTAACTCGAAACCAATTTTCCCCGTATACTTCCATTATACAAGTTGAGGCTCATTCCTACAGAAATTTTTTGAGCCCCAAAAACGTGGCACTAGCACAAGTATGTATGAAATAATACAGTTTTAACCACATTCAATCAGTCATTCATGATATAACATGATATTAAATGAACAAAACACTCGAAGCTTACTTACCAGACACAATGTTGAGTGTTGTATAAGGTGGTGAGGTAAGGTTGTGGAATTAGAGTTACTGGGAGTTACCTCCTTAAAACATCACGTTTAATGTCCAATGTAATTCATTTATGGAATTTTTTATCACCACTGCTTTCACTTGAATTTCATGGTATTTTTCCACTCATCTTTAATAAGGATACACAGTTCTATATAGCGATTTTTTCTTTTGAAAATCTTAATTAATTAACCATAATTAATGAGTTGACGGTTCTGGATAAACACAAGAAATACACGCTGCCATAATTTGTATTAAAAGTTTAAAGTCCTGCTATAATAGTCGAGATAAGTTTATTTCTCTGGAAACGGCCGCCATTTGCAATGACGTTACCACATACCCTGCAGACGGCGTACTGATGGAGATGTGAATCAATTTAGAAGTAATGACATTGTCTGGACTTTGTTTTTGATAATGCCTGATGCTAGGTAAACATGACAACATATTGCTGTTATCGTTTTGATAATTCACTAATGAACCACTGGGATATATCATCATTTATATTAATTAATCGGTAAAATTTTACTTTAGCTACCATAAGTATTTGGATGCTTAGATTCGAGATAGGCTATACAGTATTGGGTATATTTTAAGTTTTGGTCATCCCTGTACTTAGACATGCAGACTATGATTTTTTCTGATGGTTTGTGATGTGTTATGAACGATTCAGACCTTCATTTCTATCGGAAATCACTAGTTATGAGTTACTTCCCCCCCCCCCCTTAAGCTTACCTTATAACTTATAATATTACTTATCATACCTAACCAAACCTAACCTAACATATGACCTGTATTTTCTTATGCGACCGAAAAATGTTTTGCGACAGGAATCCCGTAGAGATAATGTGTCTTATTGTTTAAATGATTTAATTCCATAGTTAGAACCTTAAGGTTCCCCAGATGACCAAATCCAAAATAATACCAATATTGTTTGGAATGTTTATATTATGAAGTTTGTAGTATGGGCAGTTAGTTAATGTGCTTAGTAATATTTATATATTCAATATAGCATTACTGTGTTGCACAGTAGAGCACAATTAATTATCCAATCATATTTATTTAGAGCCGATCAGCCGAGAAACTACTTCCAGGGTTCATCAAGGCAGATATGAAAGAAATTAACCTAAAGTAGATGTCTTTATGATTGTAGAGTATAATCAAGAACTCCGCCACCCAGCTTTGACGCACATTAATTACATCTGTCGTCTGATCATCTCACTCTGGCCATGATCGTCCATAGTCCTCCCACAACATTAAATATAGACATCAGTGACGAAAACTTACATTTCCAGACATGAAATAGAGAACAGTGATGAAAACTTCCATGTTGGAGTTATCGGTCTTTTGCATCATTTGGGCACCCAGCAAGTAAACACACACGATGATACTTGAGAAGTAGTTTATCTTAACCTAAAAATAAGGTATGCCTGTGTATATCAACATTGTACATGGCCACAAGTCCTGCAATTTTGCTGGTAAACATCACATACTAATGGATATACACTGCAACTGGCTGCCTCTATGCTCCTTCTCTGCAGATCTATGGAACCAGTGACGTCACAACCAATCACAGAGCGTTTCACAGTCACGTGACTTTTTAGCAACTTTAACCCTTAATTTTTACACTTTTTGGCCTAATTTATGTTAAAATATCATTGCCATAGTGAATTGAAGCGTTTTATTGACCAATTTACCTGCCATCTTACGAAAAAATTCCGACTGTCAACTCGTCAATTCCGTAAGGGCGAATACAGTCTTGAACACAGATGCAGAACTGAACACAAGCCGAGGAAAGAATTCTAATTGAGCAGTGCCATTGTTGTGGTGGTTGCTGGCGACTGGGGAGGTGAGCAACCTTCCAACTGCTTTGTGGCTACCACAGAGAATCCACATAAAATACTTTTTACAATTTTGGTAAAACTTTTGCCTAAATTGTGATTTTTTTATTTAAAAAATTTACCCAATTTCTGCAAGGGTGAGTTTTTTTCTGTAATCCAAAATTGTGGTCTTAATTTCAAAATCCCATAACCAGAGATTCCATAGTGTGGAGATGCCTATACGTCCAAAATACTCAGCACATTTTCTTTGGGTTATCAAAAAAAAAAAAATTGTGTTATGCATTTTATGATGTTTTAATACATCATTCTTCATATTGTATTAGTCCACTACCAGAAGTTAGTAATGCCATCAGAATAGTATACAGGTGTAGTAACTTTTGTTAGATTATTAATAGGTAATTATTGAAGAGATAATTATAAGCTTGTAACCAATTTGTACAGGTGGACCTGAAGGAGGTGAAGGAGGTGACAGGGGTGGTGACACAGGGACATCCGTACTTTCAACAGTTTGTTGAGGTCTTTGCTGTTCAGGTGTCAGAGACTGGAGCAGCTTGGGCAGATGTAAAGGATGAAGATGCTCCATTTGCAAAGGTCAGTATGAAAGAGAAATGCAGGTAAATAAGTTTTAATTATCATGACAAATACTGTATATATATACACCTCATAGGTGTAAAAAATAATATCATTCAAGACTTCAAGACATCTTCAGGTCATAAGATCCACTAATCCCCCACCCAACAATAGGTAACCTGACATTGCATCAGATCAGGTTAGTAACATGACTCAATAATCTCTCACCCAACCTCTATCACAAGTGCTAAGATGTTATTACAGTTATGTATTACAGTCTGCTGAGTGAAATGTCTCCCTACTCTAGGCTAAAGATGACAGTATCTGCTGATGAGTACAATATATACAGTAGTATACATTATTATATTTACAATATGAACAATATTGTACAGTGGTGTTTGCGTAAATAACTATAGTTCCTACAAGCTGCACTGTTTACTCTTGGAAAACACCAAACTCTTTGCTGTATCACAGCTCTATTCACGCCCGCATTATATAGAGGTTTTTTCAAAATATATTTATTTAATCAAACTTTTAGATGAAGTATTCGGGATTATTTTGATAAAAAATGGTGTGTTTAACAAAAATAGACCTCAGTTTATTGATTCCGGTCTCAACATTTCTTTATTTTTTATATATAAAAGAATGGAATTCCCATCACTATATCACATCAAAAAATTGGAAACGTCTTGTAGAGAATTTATTAAGGATCATTATGATATCAAATTCATCTCCCTATTACAATTAGCCATGCTTGGGTGAAGAAGGGGGGGGGTAGAAAACTGACCGCAAAACCCTTTCCTCCTCACTCCCCAAAAGGGTTGACTCCCCCACTCTCACCCACACTGTGCTACACCACCCACACAAACACACCCTCCAACAACCACCCACACACACCCTACAACACCACCCACTGTCCCCTAATAATAACATAAGAATGGAGGAAACTGAAGCGGGCCTATTGACCCATACTGGGCAGTCCCATTTACACCCAACCCCTATTGCTCATATATCCATCCAACCTATGTTTGAAACTATCCAGCGTATTCGAGTTAATGATGATATTTGGTAACTTGTTCCACTCGTCTTCTACTCTATTTCCAAACCAATGTTTACCTATTTCGCGCCTAAATCTAAATTTTTCTAGTTTAAAACCGTTGTTACGAGTTCGCTCCTGGTTGGATAGTTTGGGTACCTTTTTAATAAGAACATAAGAACATAAGAAAGTGGGATACTGCAGGAGGCCGACTGGCCCATACAGGGCAGATCCCTTTCACACCCATCCCAGCACTTCCATGTGCCTATCCAACTTCGTCTTGAAGCCTCTAGCGTCCCCGGGATCCCACTATATAGTTAATCTTTTGCAGCCTATTCCACATATCCACAACTCTATTACCAAACCAGTGCTTGCCTATATCCTTTCTGAATCGGAATTTATCTAATTTAAAGCCATTTGTTCTAGTTATTTCGTTATTACTGAGCTTCAGAACATCTTCCATTTTACCCCTGTTAATCCCACTTACCCACTTGTACACCTCTATCATATCTCCCCTAACTCTACGCCTCTCTAATGAATGCAAGCCTAAGCTTTTCAGTCTTTCTTCATATGGAAGGTTTCTAATATTATGGATCATTTTTGTCATTCTTCTTTATACTCTCTCCAAAGAATCTATGTCCATTCTATAATAAGGACACCAGAATTGAACCGCATAATCCATGTGTGGCCTCACTAATGCTAGGTAAAGTTTCAAGATAACGTCAGCAGTTCTGTTACTCACACCCCTAGATATGAACCCAAGAATCCTGTTTGCCTTGTTGCGAACGCTAATACATTGTTTTCTAGGTTTCAAGTCGTTGCTAACAAATACACCTAGATCTTTTTCACAATCTGAGTTTTCTATTTCCGTGTTACCTAGTTTATACTTAACGTTTGTATTCGTCTTCCCTATCTGTAGTACCTTGCATTTATCAGTATTAAAATTATCCGTCTGAATTTATCACTCATTTTGGTATCATCTGCAAATTTACTAATCCTATTAGTTATACTCTAAACCAAGATCATTAATGAATATAACAAAATACAGGGCCTAATACAGATCCCTGGGGAACTCCGCTTTTGACCGCACCCCAGTCTGACTTTAATCCATTTATGCTGACTCTTTGTTTCCTACCAGTTAACCATGACCTAATCCATTTTAATAATGATCCACCTATTCCATGTGCTTCTACCTTCCTTATCAATCTCTCATGAGGGACTCTATCGAATGCTTTACTGAAATCTAAATAAATTATATCATATGACTTATTATCTACCGCTTCAAATGCTTCTGAGAAAAAGCTAAGAAAATTTGTAATCCTAGACTTTGTTATATTTCACACAAAGCCTGTTCATCGAGCTGATGGCGCTGTCTAAGATTGCTTTTAGTGTCCTTGTGGCATGGTTGGTAGCATTCCCTGGTCCCACACAGTAGGTCGAGGGTTCGAGTCCTGGCTGGTGAGGTCGTTCATTATATGTTCAAAGTCTGCATGTTATATGGACTAAAAATGAAGTATATATGGTACCTTGTGTCTCATACCAGCTGGATTGGGTAAAATGCTACTGACATCCACATAAATGGCACGGGCAGTTCCCAATGAGAGGTTCACGGCGCCATCAGCTCGATGAACAGGCTTTGTGTGAAATATAACATAGTCTAGAACTGCTTTTAGTGTCTTTGTGGCATGGTGGGTGGTGTTCCCTGGTCACACGCATAAGGTCTAGGGTTCGAGTCCTGGCTGGTGAGGTTGTTGATTATATGTTCAAGTCTGGGTGTTATATGGACTAAAATGAAGTATATATATATATATATATAATTTAATTTTTCTCTTTTATTTAAGATTCAATGCAATATCCTTTTTTAAATTTTATTTTCTGTTCAACAGCAATTCACTGGCAACAGCGACAGCTCTACGCCTGTGACAAACTTATTTCCAGAACCTGTTTTTGCTAGATATGTCAGGATCATCCCTATAAGCTTCTACTCTGCCATCTCTCTCAGGCTGGAGCTCAAGGGCTGTAATGTCAAAGGTAAGACAACAGATATATTGGCTTTTAATACAGGTAGTGTACAAACTCTGGCCATTTTATCCTAAATACAGATTCAACATACTGTGTAAAATTGAGTTGTGAGGAAATTGCTATTCTGTAATGCCGATTATTGTGCAATGGGCCCAAGGCAAACACACCTAAACTCTACCTTGGTTAGACCTGAATGGACCCATGTGACCCATATTCACACCCAAGCTCTGATGACGATTGTAATTTATATTTCAAAGATTCAAAAGGTTTCTTATCCTGTGGTTTGTTTTATGACCAAAAAACCTTAAGTTATTTAATTTTGTTGTTGCTTTTTTGTGTCATCTGAAAAACTTTAGATACTGTCAGGTATCTGGGGACATCCCTATGTCATCAGACAGTGGTTTGGGTATTGTGAGAAGAGGTATGCATAGAAGCTACACATGTGTCTACCCCCCCCCCCTTTTCTGCAAGAGGAGATGCACCTGGAATCTTTACTAGTGTTCATCATTTCCTCCCATGTTAAAATCTGAGAAGTGTTCTAGCCTAAATATTTTGACACAGAATCTTCCCAAGTTATAAACTTAGGTATACTGTACTCTATTCCAAAGAATCTTGGCCATAAAGCTTTTCCTAACAAGATTAATCATTGCTTTAGTATATTGTACTTCCCAGAGCTGGAGGTGACTGTTACTTGTGTTGGCCTAACACTGCTGGTTAAAGGTGTTGATGGTTAGTGGATGGAGGGGACAGAGGCATCTTCCTCTTGTCTCTGTATCCGAGGAATCCTCTAGTTGCTGATTGTGATCACTTTTGATGACACTGACCCAAAGCTCTGCAGATATCATGTACCGTTTCACTAGAATCTATCGTGCGTTTTTTCCCAGCTAAGAAAAGATGCCCCGCCCCCTTCTCATGAGTCACAGCTGATTGGCTGTTGTATTTCTGTCCAATTTCGTCCTGAAGTAATAATGTATTTTTAAATGAGTTTCATCGTTATAAATTAGCAGAGTGAAATATGACTGCGAACAACTTCATAATGTCCCGCCTCTGCTAACGGCCGTGCAATTTTTCAATGTGATTCTGATCTTTCAAAATGTTAATTTTTGGAAATGTAGTATTACATGTATTGATACGTATTTTATTTTAGTATGCCTTATTGTGGGTAAAAATAAGTATAGTATATTAAATGCATCCTCCGAAACCGTGAATTTGCTACCAGAGTTTAACAGTTAATTCACGTATAAGATTTCTGATAAACTTTCTACGTGCTCATGTTTGAAATATTGAATGTATGTATCTTATTATAATTCAGCTAAATATCTTTCTCGCCAGAAACGATCATCCCAACAATTATGAGTAAACTCATTTAGAAATACATCATTATTTCTGGATGAAATCGGACAGGTTTCAGAGTTGCCAACTTAGCGACTTTGTAGCTAGATCTAGAGCTTTTAGTTTTGTTCTAGCGACATTTTAGAGCGATTTGCGACTTGTCGCAAATCTAGAGATATCCACAGAAATCTAGCGACTTTCTGGATACTTTTGGACTGTCCATGAAAACTCAGTTTTCCTAATTTCGAGCCATAATATATAGCAACGGGGTTACAGGGATAATAAATAATAAGAAAAGTTTAATACATTTGAACGGGTCGTGGTACAGAAGGAGGGACACGTCTATTTCCTGATCACTTGATGTCAGCCCGTCCATGGCTAATGTTGCCGTGTCGTCATTTATTTGTCTATTACCTTCGCCTTTGTAGCACCTGGGTAACTTACCTTTTTGTCAGATATGCAATATGAATTTCATTAATACGCTAAATTTTAAAGAATATTAGCAAAACATCTTATAGAATTAATTCTATCAAGCCTGCGTGGTTCCAAACTTCTCATCCGCGTCCACCATGGGTGACCCATAGACTCCATACAGTTGCCCCGACACTGTTCACCCGCTTTGCCAAAAACCATCAAGGAAAGTTTCCGCTTGTTTGCATGCTGTTTATTAATTTGAACCCTTCATAGTCCCAATAGAAAATGGGTAAGCCACAGTATTCGCAGCGATTTAGGAAGGAATGGCTCAGAGATGACAGATACAAAAATTGGCTTCTGGAGGTGCCAGGAGATAATAAAAAAGGATTTTGTAAATTTTGCAAGTGTACTTTGTCTGCTAAGTTGTGCGACATTGAAAAACACAAAAACACTAAAAAAACACAAGAAAGCAGAAGAGCCGTTTAGTGCAGAAAGACAGACAATTTTACCATTCAAGAAACTTGGGAATAATAGCTAGCGACTTTCCATGGAAGATTTAGCGACATTTAGCTACTTTTAGGTACCAGCCTAGCGACATTTGAAAATCCGAGTTGGCAACACTGACAGGTTTACAATAACCAATCAGCTGTAACTCTTGAGGAGGTGGCGGGGCATCACTTCTCCGCTGGGTAAAACGCACTACAGTCGTAGTAGTACATTTAGATGATTCAGTTTCATCATCCCAAGGTGATGGTCCTCCACTGAACCCTTGGAGTGACACTACTCATAGTGCTGCTGTCATCTTTGGACTCATTATTGTTAGGGTTGACTGTCCAAATAACAAGAAATGAGTGAGTGAAGACGATGCATACATATTCCATGAGGCCGAGAAGACAATAATAAAAACCCTATCTAACTCATAATTAAGCTGAAATGTTGTTTATTAGGAATAAATAATATGGGTCGACATGTAACATCGTGTTTATTGTGATATACAGTACATTATGATTTTGTTCTTGCCATTTTAACATAATTGATTCTAATCTTTTGGGATCTCTGCTGTTAAGAATTTTTTCATACACCTTAAATTGTGGATCAGTAGTTTACATTGCAGACAAACCAACACATACCTGAGCATTGCTTGGTTATAGTCTTAAGCCCTTTTCATTTTAATTAAAAATTTTAAATAATATTTAAACATATACTTTACTAGTTTATTCAAAGGTTTATTAACTATTTTCCCCCAATTACAGATTAATTATGGAAGACAGAAAAACAATTGCCCTAAATGAGACTAATGGAAATGCCTTTCTTGAGTAAACAAGTAAAATAAAACTTTAGATAAGAGATCTCTTCCATTACCTCATACCAGACGTATAATGTGCATAATTAGTAGTTTACAAAACCTGAACTTCTTCACATTTCCATCATTTCATCCTCTCGGTACATCCTCTCTGAAATCAACAAAAGAAATACAAGTATACTGTATTATAATTTAAGAAAAACTACATAAAATTTATGGTTACATGTACCGATGAACAATGAACACCAGCTTAAAAAGATAGTTGGCTAGATGAAATTCTAGGGCATGGAAAGAAATTTTTACTGAAATAGAGTTTCAACTCTATTTTCCTTCCGAACAAACGATCATACAAGTTTTCTTTGAGTAACGTAATGGTTCCTAACCATAGTTTAATACATCATGGTGGAGCTTCCATAATGTTGCCTGTAACATAATGGTTGCTGATCATTAAATAATGAAACAATGACCTTTGTAACTTCTGCTACAGAGGGCTCCATGTAGTCTAATTGTCACATATGTGTAAGTGGTGCTAATAGTTTTTCTTGAGATGTAAGGAGCTTTGAAGAAAATTACTGGTGTGCAGTACCTGTATCAGCAAGTACACAAAAGGAAGAATTTATATATTTGGAGACAGAGGTAAATGCAGGTGGAAGTAAGGGGCAAGTTATAAAATACAGAGGATTGGAAGATAACAGTGTTCGTAAGATCATCAAGACCAAGTGAACTCATTGGTGTGTTATATAAAGCTTTACAGGTACTGTAGTAGTGAAGAAAATACAACTAGGAGATGGAGCTTTATTCATGACGACATGTCAGGCATAAAGCTCCATCTCTTCTTCGTCGTGTTTCCATCATTACCATACTACCACATGTCCACTATAAACAATGTTTACAAGTAGTGTATATGTGAACAAAGATAATTGCCATTACAAGAGCTATACCATTGATGTTGCCTCCATAGAAATGTCACTTAAAGTAAACAATTTCAAACTCTATTTATAGTTTGATGAACAAAGCCATAGTCGCAATAAGAAAACAGTAGTAAAATGTTTTTTGTTTGTTTTTTAACAAAAGCAACACCATCTGCTCCAGGCAAGCTTGAAGTTTTTTCTAAAAAGTGAATAATGTTAAACCTCCTGTAACACCAAATGAAAAAGCACTGAACGCCTGGCTTCAACCAAATACTAAACTTTGTTCTACCTTTCCAGATGTGACACCAACCTCAGTTTCAACATCTGAGACCTTCACTGAGTCTGTATGTGTTAACGGCTGGACACCATGGATGAACACCCATACACCCAGCCCTGGCAACTGGGTGAGCTCCTCTTTCCTTGAAACTTTACAGAAGTTTTTCAAATTAAATATAAGCATTCTTTATACCAACATGGTACTAGAGGAACTACTGTGAGAATTTAGGACTAGTCTGCCCTAGAAGTTGTTGTATACTGGCATCTTAAAGGGAGCGTCCGGCTGAAGCGCGAATTTCGTTAATAATTGATCATTTAATATCAATTTCCTGAGCAATTAAGGACACCAGATACATTGTTGCTATAGCCCTGAATTGGTTCTGCCTAATCTCTGATATCTAGTTTTCCCTTATATTCTTATAAATTTTCAAAATCCTACTTCTCCATAACTTCTCGGTAAATTATGTTGAAATTCATGTGGAATATAAGTAATTTACTCTTCTTGAACGTAACATAGATATTTTTTATTATCGCCTTGGTATTAGGTGCATTTTTTCCTCCAAATATTTAAAGATAAATCAGCAAATAATAAACCAAGGCAAATATAAAGAAAAACGATATGTTCAGCCACGCACAATATGTTATTCTACTACTTAGTTTTTGTTTTATTAGAATCGGTTGTAGTAGGTAGTAGGCAGCTACCAAACAGAGAAGTACTACTGCCTGGGAAGATGAATTATTAATATTAAATTTTCGCCCCCCAGTACACGATGTGGGTCAGTGACCTGTGCCCGGGTCGGCTAATCCGTGTTAAAAAAAAATAAATAAAAGGCCAAGCCTTAAGGATTTGAAGGTTAGAAAACTCGTTGAGATAGGGTCGATACAGATGTCATGACAGCAACTCTCGATTGTACTTTACTCTAGCATGTTTGATGGGTCACTGACTTGTAACGACGGTTTTCCGTGTTTAGCAGTGTTCTCGCAAGTTTAGATGAAGAATTCCCTAGACTAAGGCTGAAAATTCCCTAGATTGGATCAAAATTCCCAAAATCCATTTTCCACACACACACACACACACACACACACACACACATATACACATATATATATATATATATATATATATATATATATATATATTAAAATCACACGAAAAGGAAACAACGGAGCACCTTAGCTCGTCTTATATATATATATATATATATATATATATATATATATATATATATATATATATATATATATATATACTGTATATATATATATCAGTTTAAATTGAAAGTTTTATTGTGGTTTTTAATATTTTTGTGGCAGAACCAAAATGAAATTATTGTTTTGGTTTTTCTGACAAGAGTAAACACTCCACTAACATTTCGAGTATTTACCGGTACTTAATCTAAGGTATAGAATCCATCAAGACATAAATGTATACCAAATTAACTACTTAATTAAAAAAAGTAATTTTGATTCCAACACTTTGTTTAGAGTTTATGATATTTTATGAGTTATGACTTGAGTATATATCAACAATGATTTGATGAGCTTCTGAATCAGAAGCATTGCTCTTGACATTTCGCACAAGCTTCAGCAGTTTTGGATGATCGAACAAATTCAGTTGATCAGCAGGTATCCCAAGTGATGCCAATCCTTCCTTTCCACGTAGTAGCCTCACAATACTTTATCTCTTCAAGTTTTCAAGAAAAATGTTGACTCAGAGACCTGGTATTGGTATTATATAAACCAAACACACTCAAATTCCCTAATTATTCCCAAAAATATTCAAAATTCTCCGGAAATTCCCCAAAAAGCATATTTCCCTAGATTTGTCCCCAGATGTGTCCAGATTTCCCAATCTGAGGACAAATTCCCCAGAAGTGGGAACGCTGGTGTTTAGCATGCTGAAAAAGGTGCCAGATACAGATTTTTACCAAATGATTGGTGTTGCTTTACACCAAAATATTATTATAAATACTTTTCTATAGTTTTCTATGTAAAGAGAAGGGCCCTCTAATTGAAGACGGGGTAGAACAATCATGCATAGCTACATAAATATTACGAATTACGCAATAAAGATACGTCCGCATATAGCCATAGGCAACAACTTACCTCAGGAATTTTTCTGAATATTTTCATAATTTTCCGATTTTCATCAGGACGCTCCCCTTAAGTGTCGATAACAGATAGTATTGAAGAGGAAGTGGAGAAATTCAAACCATGGAATGATAGGATTGAGTTAAAGGGTATGAAAGTGAATATGGAAAAAACAAAAGTAATGATTAGTGGTGTGGGTGTGTATCTATGGTGGAACTCACCATTTCCTCCAATATGTCATGGAAATCACACATCCTTAACATAGCTAAAGCTGCCTCCCGAAAGTTGGGAATGCTGTTCAGATGCCGTAGCTACTTCACTTCATTCGTCCTAACTTGGAGTATTGCTCTCATATCTGGGGTGGCTCTTCTTCTGTCCAACTGTTAGATAAGGTGGAATCAAAGGTATTTCGTCTTATTAACTCTCCTCCTTTAGTCGACAATCTCTCTTCCCTTTCTCTTCTCCGCAATGTTGCTTCACTCTCTCTCTTCTACAGGTACTTAAACGGGCAATGTTCGGTGGATTTGGCATCCTTTGTACCGCCTGCAAGGCCGTGGGCTCGAACACACGTCTTGCCCTCGGTGCCCACCGTTTCTCTGTGGATGTCGGTCACACGAGAATAACCCGTTATAGTACCCCCTTCTTTCCTCACACAGCCAAACTGTGGAACGCTCTGCCTTCTGTGTTTCCATATTTATACAATCTGTCTCACTTTAAAAAGCTGGTTTTCCGGCATCTTCGTGTTGTTGATTAACACAGAATATAACCTTTTTCTTCTCTATTTTCAATTTCTTTCTGCTCTTATTTTTTCGCCTCCCAAGGCCCCGTTGTGGGTCGTTTGACCTGTGCCCGGGTGGGCTAATTCCCGTAAAAAAAGAAAAAAGAAAAAAAAATGCAGCATGGAGAGCTGTGATCAGCTAAATGTGGCTAACATGCAAGTATGTAAAATGGTGACGATAATGTTGATTTCACCAGTATCAGAGAGTTATATTGTAGTTCTCAGGTGTCTGAAACTAGGTATCATAAACATTTAAAAGTTGAGGCCTTTCTTCAAAGCACAGAGAATAAAAAAATAGTACACAATTTATAGTCATACATATTTATTGATAAATTCTTTGAATTTCAAAGTTATTGACAAATGCTTACCAATGCTTCACTGAGACCACTCATGCCTCAGGATGACATGGATGACCTTCGCTCCCTGGCAGAAAAGTACACCTTCTGTGCTCCTCATCAAATAATGGACACACAGTGTCAAGTGGTTGGTGTGGGACTGACCCCAGAGGCTTCAGGCCAGGTGGGCATCACCTGCAACACCAATACTGGCCTTCAGTGTAATGATGACCTGCAGGCTCCTCAGCGTAAGTAATATATTTAGTATTTTGTGTGTGTGTGTGTGTGTGTGTGAAGAGTATAGTATGAGTTTTTGTTTTGCACTATTCTCCCCTAGCATTAATGAGTACCCCTCTTGGAGATATCCAGATAGCCTATAACCACAGGCACAGAAGCAGTTTTGTCTGTGATTATTAAAGGTTTGTCTAGGAGAGTTTTGGGGGGAAAAGAATTTTGATTGTTTCCTTGATGACAAACAAAGCTACTGAATTCCATGAACCCTCAGATTGCTTTGACTTTGAGATCCGGTTCTACTGCGACTGTTCAATTAGTACAACGCCAGCAGTCATCACTATGACCACTGAGGCTACAACAACCACCCTAGCTCCCGAGCCTTGCTGGCACTCTAGCCCTCAGTACAAAAAACATGAAGATGATTGCCGCAAATTCTATCAGGTACTGTATCTCTCTTAGTGTCTGGTGCTTATGTTCTGTGTATAATCTTACCTTAGAGTACATGTTAAAATATCTCATATGTTGAAGCACAGTACTGTACAGTAAAGTGTCTGTCAACCGAAAACTGGATAATTACGTACATATATTGGATATTATCATGAACTCATGTCCAAGGAAATCATATAACAAACCATAATACTTATGTCAGTTTGATTATAGTATTAGTTTCTGCAAATACTTGTACATTAACTTACTCTATTATTCTCTGGTACTCAAAATTTCATTAAATCTACAAATAAACTTGAAATTTTCACAATTCTCTAACATTATCCACATAACTTACTCAAACTCAAGTGGAAACAAGTAGACTCGTCACTCTAACCATTGTAAACATGTTCATTCAACCACTTGCCTGATTGTCGAGCTTCTCTTCTTGTGAAATATGTGGAAAATTTTATAAAAACTTTTCTTTTTCTTAAATTTTATATTTAGAATGCTCAAATGTTTTATAAAATAGTTTTTTTCACGAAGGAGATGTTTGGCTGACAGATACTTTACTGTAGCATGTTAATTATAACATTTTATTTGACTTCATGTTCATTCCTGACTGATTAATTAAAACAATGTGTTTATCAATACAAACAAAAGCGTTTTCATTTAACATACAAATAGTAAACACTACATGTACATATGTGGTTTCCATTCCTACATGTTTGTGATTTCAATTTAACTTCATATTTGTTTTCACCAGCTGTTGCACTGTCAGTTGCTTCCACCTGTTGTCCACTTGTGCTTGGCTCAGGCGTCACTTTGTACCATGATGGAATGAAAACAAACAGGAGACACACCAACAACCACTTATTAATACATCACAAGGGTCACTGCTGACCAGCTGCTGATGGTCTAACAGTCAGAACTTAGCATAATGTTCCTTTTACTTCTCAAAAAAATATAATCAGTATGACCACAGTCTGTACATGTCTGATACTAGTAAGAATAGTGAGTAGCAGTCAAAATTTCTCTAAAAATGAAGCATTCACGACTTTTCCTAAAAAAATAATGGTACTACAGCTATCCTTACTAAAAAAGTAACTCCACTACATAGTGTCAATAATAGTAGTACTGCTACTACCAACATTGACTCTCACTGTACTCCCACAACAGTACTCCACCTTTGAAGGTGAAAGGGAAGGTTTCATTCAGGATGACACACATGGTTTCACTACCACTACAGTGTGGGGCTTTTTTCTAGCCTTCTTCTTCCCTATGCCATCACCTTTCCTCTTCTCTTTCCTTTGACCAACCTTTCCTGCTCCATCACTAATACACACACAACAGGAAATAATGAATAATCCATGAAAAAGAACACCAAAAACTACCAAAGATGTGTCAGATATGTCTGTTTCAGAGGGTCAAGTTGGGGCGACTGAGTTTTAAATGGATAAGAGTGGAATGTGTCTCCCTAGACTGACTTGACTCCTCCATTGTCACTCTAGAGTGTGTCACAAGGTGGGAAGAATGATCCAGCATCAAATTCAAAGTACTCTACCAAGAAATACAAACAAATGAAATTGGATGACACATTTAGGATCAATGGCTTGTAGGGGTGAGATTTGTACTGCAATCCCGGCCTGCGACAGAGTTAACATTCTTTTATTACATGCTCTTCATTGTCGTGATTATGAACATTAATGTCTTGAATCTGATAATCATCCTTGTCTATCTTTTTTAGTGCTCTGTGTCTTTCACTGGGATGAAATACGTGGTGAAGGAGTGTGGTCCAGGCACGTTCTTTCACCCCGACACTCTCACTTGTGATTTTGAGTACAATGTCTTACTTGTGAGACCAGAATGTAGAGGTAAGAATTTGCCTCACATGACTCTCTCTCTCTATTTGTATATGTCTATTTGCTTTTGAAATAGGAGATATTCTAGTATTTTTTTTTATTATTGTGTTGGTAACCCCTGATTGGCTAGGTTAGAAATATCGCTTTCACTATTGCTTGACACATGCATTGCTTATACAGTATAAAATTGTTATAGCACAGGGGGTCCCCGAGTTGCGAACATCTGATTTACGAAAACCTACTGTAACGAATGAGTTTCCACAAGGTCAATAATTTTAAGAATCCGACATGGGTATAACTGGGTCGTAATGTTAACGTACGATAACTAGTTTGCACGGTGTAGGGGCAAGACAGAGCTGCGGGTGGGGAGTAACGCGTCACCCAGCCACATGCTTTGAGGGAGCATCAGTAAGCCTTACCCTTACCTCAGTAACGTGTAGTGCAAACTTTTTTATTTTATTTTTTAACCCTGTTTTTCGGCCCTCATCGTGGCTCCCAAATGCAAACCTGATGCAAGTGACAGTAGTGCATCCAGGAAAAGGAAAACAATTACAATGTAAGTGAAAGTTGATGTAATTAAACGTTCTGAAAAAGGTGAGACATCCTCAGTCAGTCAGTGATCGGAACAATTTTGAAAGACAACAGAAAATTCTTGAATATGTACAGTAAAAGGATCTACACCAATGCACTCAACTGTGATAACAAAACAGAGAAGTGGGTTGTTAATTGAAATGGAAAGATTGTTAGTGATATGGGTGGAAGATCAGCCAGCCCAAGGTTTCAGTGTAAGTGTTAAACTTAAATTTTTACTTTCCTTTACTGTATTTTGTCATTCAATTTCTTATTTTCTCTTAAATTAAGTGATTCGAGATGCACTATAAGAACATAAGAACATAAGAAAATAAGGAGTCTGCAATAGGCCGGTTGGCCTGTGCATGGCGGCTCCTGTCGAGAGTTACTACCACTATCTATCATCCATGAATCTATCTAGCCTCCTTTTAAAACTTTCCAGCATTCCAGCACTTACTACAAAGTTGCTAAGGTTGTTCCACTCGTCCACCACCCTATTTGTGAACCAGTTCCTTCCTATCTCCCTCCTAAACCTAAACTTATCCAACTTAAATCCGTTGCTACAAGTCCTATCCTGCTCGGATATTATAAGAACTTTATCTATATCCCCTTTATTGATTCCTTTCACCCACTTAAATACTTCTATCATATCTCCCCGCACTCTTCGTCTTTCTAGGGAATGCAAGTTTAGTTTTTTTAACCTATCTTGATATGGTAGGTTTCTAAGTCCCGGAATCATTTTCGTCATTCTTCTCTGCACCGACTCCAGTGAATTGATATCCATTCTATAATAAGGGCACCAGAACTGAACCGCATAATCGAGGTGCGGCCTGACTAGCGCAAGATATAATTGCAATAAGACCTCTGCACTCTTATTACTTACACTTCTAGATATAAAACCTAATACTGTTTGCCTAATTTCGAACATTAACGCACTGTTTTCTAGGCACTATGATATAGTGAGCATAGTGTATGTGTTCCGACTAATGTACAGTACATTTCCGACTTAAGAACGTCCTCAGGAATGGAACTCGTTTGTAACCCAGGGACCCCCTGTATAATGATGAGCTTCTTTGTGCAGTAGATTTATTTGAACAGTTTGGATAAATTTATTAACATGGTTAATTTGTTATTTATTGTAAAACAGTTATTATTATTTAGCAGGTACAGTATTCGTAACCCTCATGGAAGTAAGCACGACTCCTCCACATACCACCTTACAATATACAACAAGGCTTATGTGAATACTGTACTCAGTATACCTTTATCTTCATCCAAAAGGTTACTTTAAACATATTTAAAGCTATAAGAGATTGATATTGATAAATAGAGATGCAATTTATTGATGTTTCATCCTTCAGGGGAAGAGGATGGCAGTATGTTATAACATTATTTGCACTCCAGGAGCAGGGTGGTATTGAGGCCTATATTATTTTCATAATTTCTCTGATAGTAGCTTTTATCGTAGTGCAATAAATATTGTGGTTTCTTCTTACAGACGAACTAACACCACCCCCCAAAATTGTGTTAAGTACAGTAACCACATTGCAAACAGACCCGTGCACTGATGACACTTGGACTGAATGGTTCAATGTGTCACATCCTGAGACAGATAATGGGGACTTTGAAACTTTTGAGAAGATCCGTGAGATGGGTTTCAACATTTGTGATGATATGTACATCATGGACATAGAGTGTAAATACAACAAGGAGGAGAGAACAAACTCGGGCGGCAAAGGAGGCTCCAAGGGTGGTGGCCGCAAGGGTCGCAAAGGAGGTCGCAGAGGCCAGACCTTAGACAGACTTACACATGTGTCCACTGACTACACTTTGGGTAATGACGTGAATGTCCAGTGTTCCACACAATCTGGCTTGATATGTCAGAACAACCAGCAACCTGCACGTGGTAATATATGCGAAGATTATGCCATCAGAGTTCTCTGTTCTTGTGGTAAGTGCTGGCAGACCTTTGACAACAATTCTCATAATGACACTAACACTAAAAACTTCTTTTGGTAAGTCTGTGGTGATTTATTTGAGATCCCTGTTGTTAGTACTGTTTAATGCTTTTATTTTGAATTCACTAAACCATTATACCTCTTCTGCTGTATCAGTTTCTCATACTTAATTATTACTCAGGGGCTTATTAACTAAGCCTTTTCCTGTGATTTGTTCCTGAACTGCAAGTATGCTTTATATCTAACAAGTTTGTTTTGCCATTGAAAAAATTATATTGATGCAACTTTACTGACTCAAAATAATTTGGTGCTCGCGGTGAAAAAAATATGTTGCACCAGGAGATAAGTCTCACAAGAGTGTTTCTCAAACTTACCTTAAAAACAACAACAGATCAGTAATGTTATCAGTGCATTGTTATAGGGTGATGCTGATGATCCTGAGCTCACCAGTACAGGTTTTGCTTAGTAAAGTAGTACTCACTGAAGCATTGTAGCAGACAAACATTATAACATTCTCAGTATCAAAAGCTTAATATTTATATATTTAATCCACTAAAAATTGTACTGTTGGTATAATTTTCAGGGTGTTTTGTGTTATTGGTACAGTGCTACTGTTAGTGATACAGTAATGTACTACAGTGCTGTATTTTAGTGGAGCGAATGGATCATTTACAATATCCTGCCAAGAAATTGTACACAGTTTCCTATAAAATAATGCAGAATATATGTTTATATGTTAATTTATTGTGAAGTTGTATCAATTTTACTCTAGCTCAAGTTTGGATGCGGTAATCTCGCTTTTTAAACACAGCGCTTATTCCATTGTGGTGCTGGGTTACACATATATTAATGTACAAGGGATAATGAAAAACTAAATTATGTTAAATTTTTTGTGTTAGATTTTGATTTATACAGATTATTAAATTATTACTTACTGTTACTCTTTTACAACTCAGAAGCAAGAAAGGTAACTGTCAGCAGCCAGCCTTCCACCACACCCTACGTTGATGTGAGGGGGTCTACCATCCTCACCACACCTCATGTTATAGATGAAAGTCAGTGAACACATCTTATTATATTTGGTCTAGTCATAGAGTAACTAAAAAGAGACAGAAATTCCCTTGAGTTACCTACTTTATTAATCTAATGGCCACCTACTAGAGGTGGCCATGCTGAGGGAAGGAGGCCATTGGCCTGTGTAGAATCCCTCTGTTGTTCTTGATAATTTTGTCAAGGGGTATTCTGAAGCCCAGGAAAAATAGACCAAGTATTAGACAACATATAAAATAGTTATGTACCAATAAGAGTGATTACAATATAGTATAGGGTGTTTACAATGTCTCTTGATATTTGTGTTTACAGAGCCTTTTGAGGAAGTTACACATTGAAAACTTTAGTACCAAATTTTACTTAATTTTCTGTAACTGAAAGTATTCTTCCCCACCACCAAGTGTGAGCTGCTTCAAGACCAGACTTGACCAACATTGGAGCAGGTTGAGATACTTGCCAAAAGTCTGTAACAGGGACATGGACGACTGCCCAAGCATTTTTTTTATAGGGATTAGCCCACCGGGGCACAGGTCACTGACCCACATTGGGGCCTCGGGGGCGAACTTATTAAACTGTTGTCCTTGCCCTTGTTCATCAAAGTCTTCCCCTAGCAGTAATGAAAATTTATTTTGGTCTCAATTTCATATTCTATCCCTGCCCCTGTGTTGAGCTTTCCTAAATCCCATTTTATTGTTGTCAATCTTTTTTCTTCTTAAATTTGTATCTCTTAGCCTCACTAAACTCATTACTGGGATGTATTCTAACCCACAATCTGCCCCTGGATAGGTCTTGGATCTGGTTACTGAATTTCTGAATCTCTTCTGAATTAAAATGTACCAGAATCAATTTTATTCCTGACAATGTATATACAGGCAGTCCCTGGGGACGTTCTTAAGTTGAAAATGTATGTAAGTCGAAACACATGCTATGTGCATTCCTACTTACAAAAGAATGTTTAAAATCCCACTATATCATAGCTTAGGTCCTTATATACATCTAAAATCGCTTGTTTAAGAGAAATGAAATAGAATGACTTAAAACAGTAAATGAAAGTAAAACATAAGTCATCTCCAATAGCCGGAATTTAAATTTTCTCAGAAAATCATTCCCAAAGCCGGAATTATCAAAACAATTCCGGCTTTGGGAACAAATTTTCTAGGGTTGAAAATCGAGAGCATTTTCTGAAAATGTCTTGAATAAAGACGAAAGTTAAAGTAATTTGGGGGACCTGACCTGACTCAGTGTCAGGTGGAGGCAGGGTGGAGGATTATTGGTCTCATATTACTGACCTTCTGATGGAATGTCAGGTCATCCTTTCTTGTGTGGGGGATTAGTGGGTCTCATGACCTGAAGATGTCTTGATTAAACACGAAAAATTCTAGGGAGATTGTGATAAGTATAAGTATAAATGAGAAAGTTGTATCCCTTCAACATTATACTACATAACATTTTAAAATATGGAGTGAGAAAGCGGTAAGGTGTGGGTGATTAGAGATGGAGTGGAAATGAGTGATAACATGCACCAGTGTTGCCAAGCGATAAGCTTCTCAACAGCTGATCTTTTAATTCGCCTCCATGCAGTCACACAAGACCCTCACTGGATGCTTGTTGTCTTAATTCCCGTGTGTGTGTGTGTGTGTGTGTGTTTTGACCTTGCCAAGCATATTGTAGGATTTGAAGAAGTTGATGAAGAGTTTGTTCAGGAGTCAGGTGGTGAGGTGACATGCCAAAACACTTACACAACACACACATTAACAGCACTACTAAACCATTGTCCAATAACATTTTACATAATAATTTTTATTTTAAAATTTATTGATTCAGGATAGCTCGACAGGGTTACTTTTGCACTGAGACAACTGATCGATGAATAAACCAGGGCATATGGAGACTCATTCTACCTAAATGATGTCACAAAGTTTTGAATCTTTACTCAAATGTACTAAGTTAATTTCTAAAATTATTATGTTTGGTGCAAAATAAGAACATCAGAACATAAGAAAATAAGGAGTCTGCAATAGGCCGGTTGGCCTGTGCATGGCAGCTCCTGTCGAGAGTTACTACCACTCTCTATCATCCATGAATCTATCTAGCCTCCTTTTGAAACTTTCCAGAGTTCCCGCACTTACTACAAAGTTGCTAAGCTTGTTCCACTCGTCCACCACCCTATTTGTGAACCAGTTTCTTCCTATCTCCCTCCTAAACCTAAACTTATCCAACTTGAATCCGTTGCTCCGAGTCCTATCCTGCTCGGATATTATAAGAACTTTATCTGTATCCCCTTTATTGATTCCTTTCACCCACTTAAATACTTCTATCATATCTCCCCGCACTCTTCGTCTTTCTAGGGAATGCAAGTTAAGTTTCTTTAACCTATCCTAATATGGAAGGTTTCTAAGTTCCGGAATCATTTTTGTCATTCTTCGCTGCACCGACTCTAGTGAATTTATATCCATTCTATAATAGGGGCACCAGAACTGAACCGCATAATCGAGGTGCGGCCTGACTAGCGCAAGATATAGTTGCAATAAGACCTCTGCACTCTTGTTACTTACACTTCTAGATATAAAACCCAATACTCTGTTTGCCTTATTTCGAACATTAACGCACTGTTTTCTAGGCCGTAGGTCCGGGCTTACAAGTACCCCTAGGTCTCTTTCACAAGTCGACTTCTCTAGGTTGATGTTGTTAAGGCTGTATACATTATCAGTATTTGTTCTTCCAATATTAAGTACGCTGCACTTGCTGGTGTTGAATTTCATTTGCCATTTTTCAGACCACCCCTGCAGTTTATTTAGATCCTCCTGTAATGCATTTGCATCCTGCCCTGAATTAATCTGCCGCCCTATTTTGGTGTCATCCGCAAACTTGCTTATGTCACTGCTGATCCCAGTATCTAGATCGTTTATGTAGATTATGAACAAGAGTGGGCCTAGTACTGACCCCTGGGGAACCCCACTGGTTACACGGCCCCACTCAGATTTAACACCATCTATGCTGACCCTCTGCGTTCTATCGGTGAGCCATGATTTTATCCAATTTAAAATTTTCCCCTCGATACCAAGAGCCTTAATTTTTCTCAGAAGCCTCTGATGCGGTACTCTGTCAAATGCTTTGCTAGAGTCTGATGTCAACAACCCACCTCCTCCTTCCCCCCAGCCAAAAGGAGAGGGGTCTATTGGGGGTAATAGTGACCGCGACTCCCTCTCTCCCAAACGGCTGTGTGTCTGTCTGTGTGTGTGTGACAGTAATAATAATTAACGGTTTATTGAAAAAGTTCTGCAGACCTAAGGCTGAAAATTTACATTAGACAATAATGACTTATTACTTACAAAAACATGGGGTGGGTGGGTCGTTTAACAAAAGATTTTATTACTGAACACAACACAACGATCCACGGCGGCCATTTCTTATGGTCACTAACAGGAGCACTTAGGGGCATGTCCTTCTCCAAGGTAGGTCAGTTCATGTTCCACACCCACCAACACCACTCACATACCCCTAACAAGTCAATTAAGACAGCAGACATGAGAAGTGAGGGTCTTATTGTGTGACAAATTTGCGTGTGTGACTGTGAGTTAAATATTAACTGTTGAGGAGCGCTTGGCAACACTCATTTCCACTTCATCTCTCTTATCACCCACACCTTTCTGCTCTCTCACTCCATATTTTAAAATGTTATGTAATGTAATGTTGAAGGGATACAACTTTGCTCATTTTTACTTATACTTATCACAATCTCTCTAAAAAATACTTTAGGTTTCGCGTTTATTCAAGACATCTTCAGTCATGAGACCCACTAATCCCCCAGCCACGAAAGGGTGACCTGACATTCCATCAGTAGGTCAGTAATATGAGACCACTAATCCCACACCCTACCTCCACCTGACATTGCTTTAGGTCAGGTACACGAGACCCACTAATCCCCCACAGATGGATGGGAGTGGAAAATACCAGTCATTGCTGTAACACAGTTTTATTCACGCCCATATCATAGTGATTTTTAATTTTCAAATATATTTATTTTACCAAACTTTTAGATAAACTTTTCCTGATTATTATAGTAAAGAAATGGAGTTTCGAACTTAATTAGAACTGCATTTATGGACTCCGGTAGTTTAGACTCAAGGAAAACATCCCCAGCACCCAGAAACATTCTGGGGAAGGTGGGCTGGTGTCTGTGTGTGCATGATGTCTAGTTTAGACACTCGGAAACTTTTACCAGTAACCGGAAAAGCTTCTGGAATCAGGAATTTTTCCGAGTTTGAGAAAGTCGTCTGGTTAGCCGGAAATCTTTCATCCCTGGAAATGCTCTACACCAATTGTTCCGGCTAATTGGGATATCACTGTACTGTAAATCTAAAGTTTAACCTCGTTCGTATCTGCGGATGTTGGCAAGTCAGATGTTTGTAACCCGGGGATCCATTTACAGTATAGATATGTCTAGGGTGCTGTTTAAACAGTGTATTTGCGATTATCGTCTTGTTTTCAATATAAAAGTCAATTAATATTTTTCTCTCTCATTTCTATTACCCAACCCGTGTGGTCCTACTTCTGGTGCTTCTTTAAATTTCCCAACTTTTTGTGTTAAAATCATCCATTATGATCAGACATTCATTAAACTTTACGGTGTGTCTTGCTTTCTTTAAGTTTTAATACAAAATTTATAAGACTTCATCCTCACTATCATTTGTTGGTGCATAAACCTGTATTATTACCAAGTCCATGGGTTTAACATTTAACTTGTCTAACAAAATTCTATCTGTCACTGTCCAGTATCCCTTTACACTACTCAACTTATGGTTTATAAGAATACCAACACCTCTCTCATTATTTTTCACCACCTGATTATTCGAAGCAATAATTTTTACCTCTACAGTGTAATGCTAATGAATCAGTCCATCTTATTTCACTTAATCCCAGAATGTCTTACTTTAGTCATTTTGTTTCCCTACACACATTTGTATACTTACCAGTCCTCACATTCGATGTTCTAATCATTATTTTGTGTTTGTTCACTTTTAAACTTTATGCAGTGTTTAATATCCAAGGCTTTGTTTTGCTCGGACAGTACTTGTTTAGATCTCAGTGGAACACTTCCCGTAAGGATGGGAGGCAAGGCGGTTGGAGCTTTAGGTGACGATGATCTAACAAGAATGCCCGGAAACCGTTTATTGTGTTTGTTCATAGTTTTTCAAGGGCAAGAGATGAAGTTAATGAGAGTGGATGCCCAAAACTTTTTCTCATCAGAAGACTAATTAATGGAACTTAGAAAGTTGGGAATGAGCTATGGGGGGTAGAGGTCGCTCATACCTCACTCTGGTGAAGAACCAGCTTATCAATTGGGGCCAAGAGGTGCATGAGCCAAGGTAGCGAGGTTGGAGTGAAACAGCCATAGATTTTGGTGTAATTTTATGCACATAACTCTACACAATGTGATACAGTTGCATTATTATAGTAAATGTTCAAAATTCCCTCTCTCTGTTATGGATGACTTAACAGGTCTTCAGTTTTGTCAGATGGACTAAAAGGAAAAATACAGTACAAGGAATCAGCAAAGTTGCAATTTCTTAAATGTAAAGAACTCATAGGGGAAAGGACTAGAATTTTTAGGTAAAATTGATATTGTCAGTCATATTAATAAAGAGAAATGAAAGTTTATGTTAATAGCTAAAAACTTGATGGATTCTCTCACTTATAGATAAAATAATTAATGACTCTACTTTGTGAAGGATATATGCGAGTTCAGCATATGCGAATTCACGTATATACGAAGACCCTATTCCTACCAGGATTTAAATAATGCGAGGAAATTCAGCCTTATGCGAGATGTCACACTCTCTCATATGGATTCCAACCCTGATGAGTGCAGTTGTCACTCCTACACCATCACCCACTAATTATAACCTCTACCACCGCCTCCATCATCTTGTGTACCCAAGCTGATGTGTCTGCTTTTGTCAAGTGCATTCTGCTGTACCCATGTTTTATCTATTATTTTGAAAATAATATTTTATCGATTTGTTTTATGGTTTATTTCTATTGAAAGTGTGTTAAAAATAGGTTATAGGGTGCATCCCATTTTTTCTCATTTAACTAAGTATTCGATATATGCGATTTCGGTTTATGTGAGAATTTTCAGGAACGCATTCCTCGCATATATAGAAGAACTTACTGTATATTCAAAAGTTTAAGTACACAATTTTTTAAAGTATGTAAATATAAATAATTTTTTGTAAAATCTTTCATATATTGTTTTAATGTACGGTAAGGTTAAAACAGCCTATATACAATAATATGTCATTAATATCTATTTGTGCATGTGTGAAGGATGTGAGGTAATGCCATAGTTTGTTCTTTAGTTTTGCTTTCTCATAAAATTTTGTAGTAGAACAAAGTAAGATGATGTCTTTCATGTAAATATCTGTTTTCAGTTACAAAAAGAAGTGTATATACACCTTGTAGTTATCACTTAACATTGGTCATATTGACTGTGAGAAGTAAAACATTTGAACAAAATTACCTTAAGCAATTTACAAAAATTGTCATAATTATTGTTATGTTTTTCCTGCTACAGGGTGTCCTCCGGGTCAGAGGTACGAGCCCAGAGCACTACGTTGTGACAGAGTCTGTTTCTACTACAGATATTACTTGCAACAAAATGGCGAATGTCTGGTAATTGATAAAACATACTTTAATTATAATACGAGTACATTGAAAATAAGTTATGTGGAAAATAAATGGTTTTACATATAAAATGATAATAGCAATGACTCCGAACATTTTATATAAGATACTGTATCAAGATATTCAGAGCGTACCTTATTTTCAGTGCTGATACTGTACTCCTTTGAAATTATAGTTGTCATATTTCAGAAACATAATGGAAATAGTGCTTCATAATTTCAAAAATGTATTTTTTCATGTTTGGCGCTGGTAAATATCATAAATATTTTCAGCATGACAGTCAGTACGCCCCAGCCTGTGTAAATGTTTCCTCTGATGACGCCTGCCCCGGCAACCAGTACTTGAGGGACAAGACGACCTGCGTCGCCGTACAGGATTGTAACTGTCGCCTCCCCAATGGCATGGCAGCACCGGTAATCTTATCCTCATTTCTCTTAACTCATGAGTACTTTTTGTTTTAAACAATTTGTTTCTTTGGCCTAAGTATAACTAAATATTTACTATGGGTCAACTATCTCACTGTGTGTGACAGTATGAGACGCCAGGTGCGTGTGATTGATACAGTGGATGATTGATTCAACCTGCCATTTATATGTGACACCCGGCCCATGTGGCTTCTGTGTATTCTGACTCTTAAATGTTTCAGCATTGAGCAGTTAGTGTTAAGTTCATTTTTCAGTCAAGTTTTTGCACGTAAAATAACCACTAATAGCTATACAACTGGTCCTTGTTATTTGTTGAGGTTATGTTGTAAAGAATAGGGATTATACTGAAGTGACAACTATTCGGGAATTTTCCCTTATAACAATTAGTACTAAAACGTGTGACAAAAAAGATGAATTTTCTGACATAAGAAATACTGTAATAAGGGTGGTTATGTCCCTTTGGTATGAATACATGGATTATTTGTGTATGTTACCTTATGTTTTGCATATATTTATAAGTAGATATCCTAATATGATATCTACTGGAATTGCATTGAAAATATTTATTTATGAAACATATTAACAGTTTTTATAAAGTTTTTATGAAATGTTCTTGAATTGATTACAGTATTAGTATGTGTACCTTAGGAGTACATTATACCCCTATTGATGAGCGACGAATATAGCCCGCATTGGCACCAGTCACCACATAACGCTGACCTTCAGATTTAACTGCTACTTGGTTCATGACAAAACCAGGCCAAGGTTCATTTATTATAAGGGCAATTACGACAATATGAGGGATTTGATGAGGGATATTCATTAGCCTGACTCACTAAGATAAAAGAACACACACACTATGCTGAATATCATAACCTGTAAAGTGAACTATTTTGATTGATAAATATATACTCAAGACCAAACCCATTGGCTCTAGGAATACAAAGAGACTCCTACACATGAAACATGCGGCAGTTGACAAAGTTAAGAAAGAATCTCAGAAATATGAGAAGTGGGTTAGGACAAATGATGAGCAGGACAGGAGGATGCATACCAGGTCCAGAAACCAAGCAACGTCAGAGTGTAGAAGGGCTGAAAGATAGTTTCAAAGGCAGATTGCAAGCGAGGTCTAGTCAAACCCAAAGGCATTCTAATGTTACCAAAATTTGAAATTAAAAACATGTACTGTATATGTGTATTGGATCTGAGGCACAAAGATGGTTGTTATGAAGACTTAGACCATGACAAGGGGGAGCCATTGAACAAATTCTATTCCTCAGTGTTCACAAGAGGGTGCGAACAATCTTACTCCTTTTCCCATATATTCTCCAGGAGAGAGTAGAGATGGCTGCTAAGCAGAGACCCTCCTGCTTTATACACCTCGGCTGGGATTCTATCAGGCCCTGAGGCTGTATTATTTTTCATCTGTTTGATGGCAGTAGCCACCTCATCCAGCGATGGAGGATAGCTGAGGTGGGTCAGCTCTGGATGCTGAGGGGCCTGCCGGGTAATGAGGACACCCACATCAGTGTTTCGGTTGAGCAGCAAATGGTAGTGCTCTTTCCAGTGCTGAAGATTGACTTCTTCATTTTTAATTAAGGAGTTACCGTCGGATGAGCGGAGAGGGCTGCGCCATGAGTGATTGGCCCATAAAATGTTTTAGTGGAAGTGAAAAATTTGCGCATCTTGTGTTGATCTGCAAGTTTTTGCATTTCACATTCTTTATTTTTAAACCAGTCGTTCTTTAGTCTGTAAAGTTCTCTCTGGGCCGCCTCTTTTTTTTTGTGGGAGGTAGCAGCATTGGTCCGAGACTGAGGGTCATTCTGCCAGTCATTTAAAGCAGCAAGTTTATCATTGACGAGTACATTGATTTCCGGGTCATTTTCATCAAACCAGTCCTGGTGTATTCTTTCGATCTGGCCGAAGGTCTCTCTGAAGTTTTTTTGTCATGACAGTGTCGAGAATACTCCAATCGGCACTGGGATTTGGGTTGTATGTTATCAGGTTGTTTGTCAGCCCATGTTCGAGCTGTTCTCTGAAAGCACGTGCTACCGCTGGATCCTCCAGACGCTTAGTGTTAAAACCTTTTCTGGATGCTTGTTGCCTTCGCCATTTTGGGGCGACGTGAAGTAAGAGCTTGGCCCTGACGAACCGATGATTAGTGTCACAGTGGTCTGAGCCATGCAATGCTCGGGTGATGAGGACATCTCGGCTATTTCTTTCTCTGACAATGATCTAGTCAATGAGATGCCAATGCTTGGGTCGTGGGTGTTGCCAAGAACCCTTGAACTTGTTGGTCTGCCTAAACATGGTGTTGGTGATAGTGAGGTTGTATGCTGCACACCGGCTGAGGAGGAATAGGCCATTGGGATTACACTTGCCAAGTTTATTTCTCCCTGTGATTCCCTGCCAAATGTCAGCATCTCTGCCAACTCTGGCATTGAAGTCACCAAGGAGCACAACCTTATCTTCTTTGGGATAGAGGTTAGTATTCTGTCAAGGTTGTCATAAAAAGCCTCCTTTATGTCATCCTCTGTATCCAGTGTTGGGGCGTATGCACTGATGAAAAAGGCTGAGTGATTCAGTGGGACACTGTGCGTCATGAGGCTCCCTTTGATCCCAACAAGCATTTTAGTTACCCTGTGTAGGATGCGTTGGCGGATGGCAAAGCCAACTCCATAAATGCAGTTTCTCTCCGCAGCAGGCTTACCTTTCCAGCAGAAGATATAGCCAGAACCCCATTCTGTAAGTCGACCCTCGTCTGGGAGCCGGGATTCACTAATGGTTGCTATGTTGATGTTATACCAAGCCAGCTCTTTTGCCACAAGGACAGCTCTTCTTTCAGGATGCTCATTTGTGCCAGTATCCAGAAGGGTCCTGACATTCCTATTAGCGACCATAGGAGATTGTATAGTTTGCTTTTGTTTTCATCTGTGATTTTAATTGTGTTTTGGACCATATAAGGATGAGCTTACTGGGTGCGGTTGCCCAGTCAGGTTGGGTTTTTAGGCAGGCTATGTTTAGGGCACCTTTTCTAGCCCCCTCCCTATGTGGGGCGAGCAGAGTGTCTCCTGGAAAGGGCTGCTCAATCGCACAGACAGGACCGGATTGCACTGCTGCCTAGATTCCAGTGCATAAACGACCATCTTATCTGTGCCTCCCATGTGCAGAGTTGTGACTAGAGACTCCCGGCAGTCATCTCTGCCTGTCCCCGTCTTCACTCGTCCGTCACCAGGACTTTTGGGGGTAAAGATGTTTTGATGATGACAAGAGGCACGATGAGCTGGATGATGGCTGCGAGTGAGTTGATTTATGTGGTGAGGCAGGAGCGTAGGCTGCAACCACCAACTTGGCTCTCCCTTTTCCTGATCCAGTGGTGTAAGTGTTGCAACTGGGGAGAGGGAGAGTTGCAATGGACTGCTGATAGCCCAGTTTGTTGGGTTTCAACTTAGTAGCCTGTCCATCATGCTGCCTTCAACCGTCGGTAAAGTTGTTGGGTTCCCATTTTGGTGACCTCTTCTGCATATACCGCTGTTGGGGATCTTGTTGGAGCTCTGTAAGCATGTCTGCCTAATGTGGGGCTCTACCGCAGATTTTTCGTTCAGGGTTTACTCCCGTAGCCTTATACCTACCAAGGTTAATCCGCAAGGCAGCGGGGCGGTGGTTGGTAGGCGCCAGGACGTGTCCACATGTCAGTGGGCCTATGCACCATCCCTCTGCAGCCCACTGCTGCTCCGAGATTCCTTGCTGGTCTAGACTGGGCCCACAAAGCACCCAGTTACTGTGTATTCTACAAGGAGGCACAGCAGAAGTCTTGATGGTGAAAAGGCTGTGTAATGGCAGGGGAAGACTTATGCAAGTTGCTGCCCTGTTTGCCACGAAGGCTAGCCAGCGACGGTAGCTGAAAGCGAGAGGAAGCAAGCAGTGCTGGCACCTTAACACTAACATAATGCTGCCACACTAGATACATTACACCACCCTGTGTGAGCACACACACACACACACACACACACACACACACACACACACACACACACACACACACACACACACATATACTCTCCCTATACCTATATTCTCTATATACAGGTAACACGCGTTTTACGCGCGTTTGATTTAAACGTTTTTGGAATAACGCGGTTGTTCAATTAATACCTAAAGCTAATTTACGTGCACCTATTTTTGAAATAACGTGCTCAAGACAGTTTAAATTTGCTGCGCGTGTTCACCTGGTCGCCTGGCAGTGGCGTTGCATGTGATGCCTGGCGAGGTGCTTGTAAATTATTACTATAAAGTCACAGTCATATCATCATCAACGATTTTATTATTATTATTATTAATAATAATTATCATAATAATGTAATAATACAGATTATTACTCTTAATGATGAAGATAATGATGAAAATTTTAATGAAGTAGTCTGTACAACATGTTCCCAAACCAACATGGTCTTTTCTCCATTTATTAAGAAAACAAACTATTGCACAATAACTGGGAGATCACTGTACTTAACATATGAGCTGTGAGCAATAATATGGGATAAACCTTAGGTATAACTAGCTTCTTGGAGCACACTTCTCAGTTGCTCAGAGAAGGGAGTCAGACTGACCATAGCCAGCTACTTATTTGATGATTCTGCTCTCAAGGAGGGAGGGCACAGTGGGAATATACTGTCACATGTTCAATAGGAAAGTTACTGTGGGTGATGTAATTATATAAACCTAATGTATGTAACCCACATTTATATAACTGTTACTGTCTGTTTGACAGGGGCTAATACATCGGGTCCAAACATTCAGTACCTTGAGTAATTATGTTAAGCAGAAGTGTCCCAGCATAAAACTGTTTTGGCAATCCTTCACAAGGTTGTTTCGTAGGAGATGTTCCATCGTGGCATCTCTTATAATACTGTCAAGTACTTTACATACTATGCTGGTCAGGCTCACTGGTCTATAATTATTCATGAAGTAACGATAGCCCTTCTTGAATATAGGACTCACTTAAGCCATTTTCCAATCACTGGGGACCTTTTGCTTATCCAGGCATTTACAGAACAGGACCTTCAGGGTCAGGGGCTCAGCAAGCTCGTTGCACAACTCTCTTAGCACTCTGGGATGCACCATGTCAGGTCTGGGACTCCTATGAAGCCTTAGCTCTGACAGTTTATTTCTTATAACCTCTTCTGAGAACACAATGTGGGTCAGCGTTGTGTCGAACCGTCTGTCCTCAAACGCAGGAATATTTTTCCCATTGTCTCTTGTGAACACCGAAGAAAAGAAATTGTTCAACAACTCCGCCTTGTCTGGTCAGAATCTGTGGAACTACCATCTTCAAGCCTCAGGTCCGATACTCCTACTCTTGTTTTAAATTTCAACTTTTACGTCACAGTAAAACGCCTTTGGGGTTGACTTGACCTCTCTTGCAATCAGCTTTTGGAACTCCTTTTCAGCCCTTCTACTCTCTGACTTTGCCTGGTAACTGGATGTGGCAATCATCCTCCTGTCCTGCTCATTGTTTGTCCTAAGCCACGTCTTGAATTTCTGAGTTTTTTTCTTAAACTTGACGACCGCCGCATGGTTCATGTGTAGTGGTCTCCTTGTATTCCTGGACGCACTGGATTTTTCTTGGATATATATTTCTCAATCAAATAGTTGACTTTACTGGCTATGATATTCAGCATAGTGTCTGCGTTCTTATACCTAAGTGCGTCAGGCCAGTGAATACCCCTCATCTCCTCTCTCATCCCATCGTAATTTCCATTGTAATATTTGACCCTTGGCCTGGTTTTGTTTTGAACCAAGAGACAGTAAATTCTGAAGGACAACATTACATGGTGACTGGTGCCAACTGGGACTAATGTTACAGCTTGGCTATCATACCCTCCTCTTTTTGTTATGACGAGGTCCATTTACTTGGGTGTTTGCTCCCCTCTGTAACGAGTCGGGTCTTTAACCTGTTGAAACAGAAAATTATCTCTCAGAGTTTCTATAAAAAGAGTAGCTGGGTTATTTAAGTCATTTGTCATGGTCTCATTTCTCCAGTCGATGTCGCCATAGTTAGTCCCCTATGACAAGAAGGTGGCTAGGATTGAACACCATTGCATTGTCTATTAAGGCTCTTAAGTTCCTTTGGTTTAATACAGTTTGGGGATCTGTAGATACACCTGACAATAAGTAAGTCCCCTCCCTTTAATTTAATTTTACATCACTTGGATTCTTCAAAAACATCCTCTCCCTGTACCCTCGCCTGGCTGGCTCTAAAGTCTTGCCTAGCATAGATAACCACACCCCTCTTGCAAGTTGCTTGAGAAAGGTTCGTAAATGAGTCATATCCATCAATACTGAACTGACATTCCTACAGGTTGATTCTCCTGTTCTTGTACAGCAGTTTTACAACTCCTACTATATCAGGTTGCTGGACCTTCAGCAGTGTTTCAAACTCCTCTCTCTTATCAAGGAATGTGTCGGTATTAGTGTACATGACTTTCAAGCCGGAATTTGTTTTCGGTAATGTCTCTGCTCTTGGTATTGACCCCCCCCCCCTCCCCTCTTTCTCAGCAGCTGCAACATTTGTTACATACTTTGTATTTTGCGGGGTGTGTGGTCAGAGATGTCATTGTTTACATGGTACTCGCCTCCACCTTGGTGGGAGGTAGAGCGGGTGGGGGTGTTCCTCCGTCCCCTATATAGTACTGAGATTCTTCCTGTACCTTTATAGTATATCTTCTTTATAATTTATATGTTACTACAAATATAAAGATTATATAAATACAAGTAATTTTTCTCCAGAAATCGCACTCCCCGTTTCACTGTGAAGTACATATGCAGTATGTACTGTAGTAGCCAGAGTAAAATATAATTTGTTTTCGGTAATCCTGGAGTAGATGGCTAACACAAGAACACTTTCGATTTCATTCAGTTTTTCCACAGATGTTCTATGGATGATAGTAACTAATAAAAATGATATGACAATGCACAGAACCTAATAGAACCTGACCTACCCAACCAAATAACCCTACCAAACCTTGCCTAACTTTTGGCCCCCCCAGACCCCACCCCCCCCCCTGCACCATATAAACAGAAAGTACTTACTGTATTTTGATATCTTATACCAATTAAAGCAACTTTCTTAAAGCAGCATGGTGTAATTTTATATTCTTTTTGTGGACCTGAGAGAACACTCAGACCAATTGGGTCATTTGTAGCACGGGAACAAAAAAGAGCTACCGGCAACTCACGCCGACACAAGAGGTTTTCACTGTGTTTTACCCTGCAATTTCCCTCATTCTTTATGCCCCGCCCACTACAGGTAATTTATGATCACAGATAGAGAAAAAAAATATGTAAAAAAAATACTCAAAATTATAGGAGAAAGTTGTATCATATTTATTACATAGAATCCTCCAAAGAACATCTGTGGAAAAAATGAACAAAATTGAACATGTTCTGGTGTTAGCCATCTTCTTCAGAAGTACTGCTTTATCATACAATTGATAATTGTGACAAGTTAATTTTATACAGTGGTAAGTATAAACTTTGTCTCCCATATACTGTTCATGTTTTTTTTTCTAAATATCATTGTATTTCACCTTAAACACATTATGTCTTCCTTCTATAAATTATTTCTTAAACATTATGTAAGTGCTACTCAACATCATGTCTACTATGTACTTTACCCCCTGTATTAATAAATCATGGGTCCTATAGTATATCACCAGATTCTGTTTACTAACATTAAACTTTTGATTTATATTAGTATGTTAGCATCATTAGCGTACAGTACACAATCTGCTCTATATCTAGTACATAGAATGTCTGTTGTCATCAGAACAAATTAACATTTAACAATTTTAAACATGCAGCCTGGGAGAGCCTTCCTGGTGACTGACTGTCAGATGTGTCAGTGTGTCAACAACTTCCTGACGTGTGACTCCACCTCGTGCATCACCACAACACCCATTACAGTACAGGTTTCTGGAAAGGTGAGCCGTGTTTTGCATGAGATATTTATTTCATTGTCAAGTTGAATATGTTGTTATATATTTCTGTGCTTGAACAACATATACGAAGACAGTTCATGCAATAGAAAAGATTATTTTACAGAGAGGAGACAAGGAATATAATTTTATCAATATAAAAAAATATATGACTGGAATGGTTAATGGGATGGTACTGTACAAGGATTCGATACATCTCACGTTTTTTGCTTATAGCAGCCAGTGTTAGTTGTAATGTACCGTATATATTGCACTCTGTGATTGGTCTAGGCATCCTTGCCCCTCCCGCCACCCACGCTCTCCGCCGCCACACCAGTCTCACTGTCTCTGCTTACATTCACTCGTGCCCCTGAACCAGTGCTTTTTTTTCTTTCTACACAATGGCTTCCACTGGACCCCCACCACCCCCGAGAGGCCTTGAACTACCATAATAAAATTAAGATGTTTTTTTTACTACAATGTACAGTATTGTGTCGGCGATAGCCAAAAAAAGGTGAGTCTGGCGATCGGCCTAGTCTCTATTTCAATTAATCCCATAGGTTCTGTTATTTTATTTACGCGTTTCGCTTTATACGCGGACCTCAATGGGTTTAATTAACCTCTTAAAACCAGACTATACATATTTTATTTTACATATATAAAGATATGTACAGTCCCCCCAAAAAGTTATTATTTCTGGCATTTGTTGTAATTATGGTGAATCACCGTGCTCCATCTTTAGTATAATAATATAATGGTATTGGCGTAGCGAAAATATATCAACGACAGTCAAATAGTGGGTGTTCTCTGCTGGAAATCCCTGACCACTAGGACCCCGAGACTCATTGGAAGACACAGCTTGCACTGACAGACATGGAGAAATGTCATTTTCCGAATAACAGCATAGATATGAATCAATGATTGCTAGCATTGTGTTTTCCTCATTGTAACTGTTATAGGTATAATAATTATAAAAGTCATATAGTTCTAATGACTATTAATAATGTTACTAACACTAGGTTAGATTAAGCAATGACAATACATTCTAGGGAATGAAAACAATATTCTTAGAGGTATTTTTTACTTTCTAAATTTATTATTCGAGTTTCTACCTATCAAAATTTAGTATATCCACCCCCTCATGTTGCCTTTGATGTCTCCATAGTGACTCTCAATGACGACATCGTATTGTAGTGTGTATCAGATAATGTTCCGTTGCCAGCACGAATCATGAGATGAAACGTTATATTACTTTGTCAATTGAGGTAGAAATAATATTAAAATGCAGTAAATCATAATGTCATTGTACTGTAATTGTATATGGAAAATGAATGTAATATCGGATCATTGTGTTTCATATTTCATTCGAAGCGATTCCATTGTAACTTCGGTTCATGAAAATATAGTAAAGTTATGCAGTAAGTCCTCACTTAACGTCGAGGTTGCGTTCCTAAAAATGCGACGTTATGCAAAACAACGTTAAGCGGATCAATTTTCCCCATAGGAAATAGATAATATACGGGAGTTGCGTTCCTGAGCCTACCTTTGCCCCATGAAATACATTACATATACAGAAAATCATTGCCATTTCTATAGAAAATAATGCATACATATACAACTACTAAGTTTGTATTGGTACTCACTGATGGGTGGAGGTGGTAGAGCGTGTGTGTGGTGGGTAGTGAAGCAGAGGAGTCGGATGGTGGAAGGGGATGAGTATGGCAGGAGCTGAGGAGGAGGGTGGGAGCAGAGGAGGGCAGGAGAGGAAGGTGGATTGTCACTTGGACTCTGCACCAAGCCGAGAGACCATAACACGGCCATATGACAGAGGGTGACGCACTGTAAAATGTAGTCTGTGACGACGCAAAATGACGTAGAATTGGATCACCGTTAAACAAATTTTTTGTCTCTAAAGTTTAGCAACTTAGTACCAAAACAACGTGAAGCGGGGCAACACTGAGCTCGGACTTACTGTATCCCTATTTGGCAACCCATCCCCTGAGGCTGAAATATTATCAAAGGTGCATATATCAGTGGGGTTACTCATGACGTTATTAATTTTGCATATGGTATCACAATTCATCCTATTTCATTACATTATGTAGAGAATAGGTGGTGTACTGCAGATATCATGTTGATTATCAGGTGCAAGAAGAAAGAATAAAAGGTGCAACTCACAATCAGAAATGCCAACAGAACCAAGATTAAGACTGCTGTGTACGTGTGGGTCGTTCGACATGTGCCCGGGTGGGCTAATTCCCATAAAAAAAAATATATATATAAATAAAAAAAAATATGCTGATTACCAGTTAACAGATTTGCACTCATAGTTACGCTGTCAATGGAAATTCATGTACTAGTACGTATCAAGGAAACAAGAACAATATGGTATGCCTGCTAACTTTAGTTGTATTATTTGACATATATAAAATGTGAGAACCAGGCAACAATAACTGTTCATATAACTGTCGTTGTAAATTCGTCAGGATGTAAATAAACAAACATATGTCACTGACTGTTAGAGGAAGTAAAGAAACAAACATATGTCACTGACTAATGTTAGAGGAAGTAAAGAAACAAACATATGTCACTGACTAATGTTAGAGGAAGTAAAGAAACAAACATATGTCACTGACTAATGTTAGAGGAAGTAAAGAAACAAACATATGTCACTGACTAATGTTAGAGGAAGTAAAAACAAATATATGTCACTGACTAATGTTAGAGGAAGTAAGAAACATATGTCACTGACTGTTAGAGGAAGTATACAAACAAACATGTCACTGACTAATGTTAGAGGAAGTAAAGAAACAAACATATGTCACTGACTAGTGTTAGAGGAAGTAAAAACAAACATATGTCACTGACTAATGTTAGAGGAAGTAAAGAAACAAACATATGTCACTGACTAATGTTAGAGGAAGTAAAGACACAAATATATGTCACTGACTAATGTTAGAGGAAGTATACAAACAAACATATGTCACTGACTGTTAGAGGAAGTATACAAACAAACATATGTCACTGACTAATGTTAGAGGAAGTAAAGAACAAATATATGTCACTGACTAATGTTAGAGGAAGTATACAAACAAACATATGTCACTGACTGTTAGAGGAAGTATAGAAACAAACATGTCACTGACTGTTAGAGGAAGTAAAGAAACAAACATATGTCACTGACTAATGTTAGAGGAAGTAAAAAACAAATATATGTCACTGACTAATGTTAGAGGAAGTAAAGAAACAAACATATGTCACTGACTAGTGTTAGAGGAAGTAAAGAAACAAACATATGTCACTGACTAGTGTTAGAGGAAGTAAAGAAACAAACATATGTCACTGACTAATGTTAGAGGAAGTAAAGAAACAAACATATGTCACTGACTAATGTTAGAGGAGAAGAATGAAACATATGTCACTGACTAATGTTAGAGGAAGTATACAAACAAACATATGTCACTGACTAATGTTAGAGGCGGAAGACACAAATATATGTTACTGACTAGTGTTAGAGGAAGTATAAACAAACATATGTCATTGACTAATGTTAGAGGAAGTAAAGCCACAAATATACAAGTATTGACTAGAAGGTTAGAGGAAGTATACAAACAAACATATGTCACTGACTAATGTTAGAGGGCGGAAGACACAAATATATGTTACTGACTAGTGTTAGAGGAAGATACAAACAAACATATGTCACTGACTAATGTTAGAGGAAGTATAAAAACAAATATATGTCACTGACTAATGTTAGAGGAAGTAAAGAAACAAACATATGTCACTGACTAGTGTTAGAGGAAGTAAAGAAACAAACATATGTCACTGACTAATGTTAGAGGAAGTAAAGAAATAAACATATGTCACTGACTAATGTTAGAGGAAGTAAAGAAACAAACATATGTCACTGACTAATGTTAGAGGAAGTAAAGAAACAAACATATGTCACTGACTAATGTTAGAGGAAGTAAAGAAACAAACATATGTCACTGACTAATGTTAGAGGAAGAATAGAAACAAACATATGTTACTGACTAGTGTTAGAGGAAGTAAAGAAACAAACATATGTCACTGACTAATGTTAGAGGAAGTAAAGAAACAAACATATGTCACTGACTAATGTTAGAGGAAGTAAAGAAACAAACATATGTCACTGACTAATGTTAGAGGAAGTATAAAAACAAATATATGTCACTGACTAATGTTAGAGGAAGTAAAGAAACAAACATATGTCACTGACTAATGTTAGAGGAAGTAAAGAAACAAACATATGTCACTGACTAATGTTAGAGGAAGTAAAGAAACAAACATATGTCACTGACTAATGTTAGAGGAAGTAAAGAAACAAACATATGTCACTGACTAGTGTTAGAGGAAGTAAAGAAACAAACATATGTCACTGACTAATGTTAGAGGAAGAATAGAAACAAACATATGTCACTGACTAATGTTAGAGGAAGTAAAGAAACAAACATATGTCACTGACTAATGTTAGAGGAAGAATAGAAACAAACATATGTCACTGACTAATGTTAGAGGAAGTAAAGAAACAAACATATGTCACTGACTAATGTTAGAGGAAGTAAAGAAACAAACATATGTCACTGACTAATGTTAGAGGAAGAATAGAAACAAATGGGTTTATTGTACAATATTTGGGCAATATCGGTCGACCAAGCCTAAAACTCACTACTCCACAGTAACTATACACTTTCTTGATGAAACATTTATAGTGAAACATAATACACGCAAATGATCTTATAACGTCGTTGATAAACTTGAAATTTTTCCTTGTAATGTCTGTGTCGTTGTTATTTACTTACATCAAATCAAATCGCCATAAGATCACAGAGTCAACAATCCCAATGTCGGTTTGTATAATTTATACAGTATGCATAATACTATCCATAAGTCCTATATATAAGTATCGTAGCAAACTCGTTAGAATGTATAGAAAATTATGTACATTATTTATGACACAGGAAGAAGAAATAGAAAATGAAAAAGGTGCGGTACGATAACCTGGCCATAGCGGTCGCCTCAGCCTTCAGTCGCCCCTTACAAGCTGCATTACAAACTATAGATACTGTACAGATGCGCGAGACCTTCACCAGATACTTGTTTTTATTATGTACAGTACATTATAAATCTAAACATAAGTATCGTAACAAACTCGTTAGAATGTACATGAAAATTTTATAAATTATTTATGACACAGGAAGAAGGACTGGAGAATTAATAAAAAAAAAAATGAAACTGCGTTTTAAGACATTCTGGCCAAAATGGTCGCCAGAGCTTAACACTCAATTATCAATCACCCCTTTACATACAGTACTGCAATAGAGACTGATGCCAGACACCTACACCAGGTAGGGTTATGCATTGTCAGGGATGTATTTACCACAATCAATCAATCAATCCATCCCTCATTCAGTGATAATTTCACTTAATTTTGTTTTTTTCAGGAATGTATCCCCATCATTAAACGAAGGATACCTGTACTTATTTTGTTTTTAATAATTTTTGCCACTTATCAGCTTACTAACTGTTTGGGAAGTCTATCCAGTTTTAGTACAGGAGGAAACCATAAACCTGTGATGTTTGGTAGTGAGGGTCACACTGGATAACACCCTTCTCACGTGTGTCTGGGCTGAGGCTCAAATCCTTGACATTTATTATGTCAGTGTATCAGTTTCAGTTCTCCTCATAGACTGCATTCAATACCTATAATGGTTGTTAGTATTTTCATTCTTTTTTGTGTGTGTTAAAACAGGTTGTGTATGTTTCATAGACAATTGTATATTTTAAGATTGTGTTTTGTAACCCTATTAACATGATATACTTTTCTTGCTTCAGCCAACATTTGAGTGTAATGCATGGAGCTCTTGGTTGAGTGAGTCTTCTCCCAGCTTGGGCAGTGAGAAGGAACTTCTGTCTGACCTGCGCAACAAACACACGAAGTTATGCTCTAGGCCACGGCGAGTGGAGTGTCGGGTGAAGGGAAGTGAGTAGCTTCATTGACACTTGTAAAGCTCATCTATATTGTCTCCAGCATGAGTTATCAGTATTCTCATAACAAGTTAATACTCCAAGCATACTTAAGTCTTCTTTTACTTACCAGGAATTAGATTTCATGGTTAGTCCCCAGTCAATGTCGTTACCAGTAAGTCATCAAAATTATAAATGTTCTTTGAAGTTTTTCTTTATTTCTTATTATGAAAAGACAAAGTCCACATTTGATGCAAAATTCAATTGAATTTTTATTAGATAGTCAAAATGTAACTTTTAATTTTTTTTTTAGAATATTTGCCATCAAAGCATTAAAAATGAAATGATTCATTTACTTACTTTGTAATGTATATTCTTACATACATGACACACTGGATTACATATCTTGAAGTAATAGTCTTCTAAACTTATCTTATTTTTGTTGAGAACAAATAAGCTATTTAGCAATCATCACCATGGGTCTAGAATGCTGGGAATTGATAGTGTAGGCTGTTTGTTTACCTCATGTGTCCACTCTCAGATGTGAGCACAATTTTTTTAACGGGGATTAGCCCACCCGGGCACAGGTCACTGACACACATCGGGGCCTTGGGGGCGAAAATATAATAATAATAATAATAATAATAATAATAATAATAATAATAATAATAATAATAATAATAATAATAATAATAATAATAATAATAATAATAATAATAATAATAATAATAATAATAATAATAATAATAATAATAATAATAATAATAATAATAATAATAATAATAATAATAATAATAATAATAATAATAATAATAATAAAGAACCATAAAGAAATATACAAATGAAAAAAAAATCAAGAGTGAGAAACAATATATGTATGTTGTGTTGTCAAAGTAAGAGAAACAATTGAGACCCTGCAATTGTGTGTAAATGAGGCAGAAAGTCAGATCAGCAACCTGGGACTTGGTCACAATTTTCGTGATGCCATATGGCAGCAGGTTCTACTATTAGACAACACATTATGCTTCCAGTATCTTCCCAGGAGGTAGTACCTCCCTGTTTGGTAGCTGCCTATCTACCTACTACCTGTAGTAGCTGATGTGTGGGTGTTGGCTGAAGGTTGAGTTGAATTAGACTGGGGTGTGTTATTATAACCCTACTTATTTTTTCCCTCTACTTACAGTATAATAAATGAGGTTTAATTCTGTTTATCACAAATTATATGCAGATGCAGCTGTTATCATCATTTGTAGAATAAAAAACGTGTGAGCAGCTATGGGTATCCCTTATATTAATGATAAAATAAAATCAGTCAACAGAGTTACCTAAATATTAATTATAGTAGTTGTGTGAAACTGTAATTGGCATTATGATTGTTTCAGGCCACGAACTACCAGAAGAGGCAGGGCAAGTGGTGACGTGCCACCGTAAGAAAGGCCTCGAGTGTCTCGCCTCAGAAAATGCTCAAGGTTGTAAGGTGAGAAATATAAACAACTGATGTTTTCTGATGTAATTGAACATGTACATTTTAATTATTTTTTCTCTGTACAGTATTGTAATATTGCATTTATGGTAAGTGAAAACAATATAAGGGTGAATCATGTTATTCAAAGGGGAGGGATTTAATGTAATCTCAAACACAGTACAATATAAGGGATGGGGATTTGAATATACTATTCTATCAATAGATTTAAGTGGGAAGGTGGTGCTTGTTGATCACTTGAATAATTCAGGGTACACACTGTGTCTTGAAGGTGCTTCAACTGTACAGTATTTTGGATTGATTGGGTCACTGAGCCTTAATTGGTAGAAATTTCTTATAGATGTCACCTCAATAATCCAGGAAGCTTGGATGATTGCTGGATTCTTTTATTAATATATTTTATGATACATAATTATGTACTGATGGAGAATTAAAAAATAAATAAATAAAGAAATAAATGCACACACCGGTACAGTAAGTCATCATTTAACGTTGGCCCTGACAACGTTGTTTCGTTATAATGTCCCTATTCTTTTGATACACATGATTCGGATAACGTCCCGCTGATTCAGTATAACGTCGTCACGGACTACTTTGTACAGTACATCACCCTCTCTCATCTTGACTCTCTATGCTCTCACCCGCATTTGTGCGTGTTTATGTGTTTTTGCTCTTAATACTGTACTCTAACCATTCAAAATGGCTTCCAAGTGCCCATCAAATTTTACTAATGCTAGTGTTGTGAAGAAGCAACATAAGACTATTAGCCTTGCTATGAAAATGGAGGTTTTAAACTGGGAGGAGGAGCCACCCGCCGGGTCTCAATGACTCGCCACCCTCCTCCTCCTCTCCCACCCTCGTCCTCTGCTCCACTACCCATCACACACTCGCTCCATCACCTACCCCCGTCAGTGAGTACAGTTCAAAATTCATTAGTTGATTTATATATATATATATATATATATATATATATATATATATATATATATATATATATATATGCAAGTAAATCACTGTAGGTGCGTGATCTAGGTTTATGCTGATATATATATATATATATATATATATATATATATATATATATATATATATATATATATATATATATATATATATATATATATTTATTTATATATACTATTTTCAGTAAAATTGCCATTGAATTTCTGTATATGTAATGTATTTCATGGGACAAAGAGAGGTTGGGGAACTTAACTCCTGTATTTTATCTATTTCTTATGGGGGAAATTGATTCCGTTAACGTTGTTTCCATTAACGTTTCGGTTTTCAGGAACAGAACCACAGCGTTAAGCAAGGATTTACTGTACTGCAAAATATTATTATGTACTGTGATGAAATAAACAAAGTTTACTCCATTAACTTAGCAAATAATCTTCTAAACTGAGATGCGTGATACAGCATAACACACATCTAATTTTACATTTGTGAGGAACAAATGTTTGTGTATTATAGGCTCTGCACTGACTAACTCACCTACTGATCATTTGGAAGACTTAAGATGTCTTAGATTACGTATTTGTTTGTATGATTGATCTGTAACATCACAGACACCAAATACAGTAGTTGATCTGATAATAATTTCAATATTATGAAGCAAATTTTCTTGATTGCTACTATAAATATTCCAAAGTATAAAATATTCTAATTTTTAAAAATTTTGTTTTTAATCGTACCTGGAAGTTTGGGCACATTTTAAACCAACCTGGGCAGCAATATATCCAAAATTGTTTTTTAGTAAATTTTTAGACGTACATGCAGCATACATAAGCTATACACTATGATAAGTAATTTTTATTAAAAAATGTGCATCATACATGCTCCAGAGTTTAAGAAAAATAAGGCACAGATATGACATACATAGACCACACACAGCCAAAAAATGGCACTTACACAAAACAAATGAGGTGTCAAGAGTAAACTATTGCTTGAGTCTACCTGGTACAGTATTTTAGGAGGAATCTTGACTTAGGAGAGAAGGTTTTAAGTTAAAATAGCCAGTTTTGAAGGAGAGACAGTTTCTTAATGCCAAATTATTGAGTTCATAACTTTACAAGAAACAGAATTTAATGGTGTTAACACATTTCATCTTGAAGAAAATATGGCTTCATTTGATATACTGCATTTTAGAAAATGTAATGTGAAATTAAGTTATAATGTATGTCATCTTCTCACAGGACTATGAAGTGCGTTTCTTCTGTGAATGTGGTGACTACACTGACAAAGATGAAGTGGAATTCACTGAAAGTACAACATGTGAGTTATTATCAAGGTTTATTCATTAAGGGAAAAATTTATGGTTATTGTTCATGGTGTTTAAGGTGGAACTTTTATATTGATTTATGGCTAATATTCCACAAGCAGCCACCAAGTGATCCTAAATTATATGCTGGTGCTGGGTTATGAACCTAAATTGGATGCCAGTGTTTGCAAAATAATTACTCAGTGAGTAAATGACTAGAGTCGGTTAGGTTAGGTTGTTTTATTTTTGTTTTTTATTCCACATTTCCCCTCTGCATCGAAGCTTTGCTTATGTTAGGTGGAACAGAATAAGAAAGGTCACGACTCAATAATTGTGCATTTCTCCAAACATTCATTATAACCACTGTATTCAGCATGTAAGACTGCTTTAGATATACAGTAGAGGGTTTAAAAATAGTAACGGTATGGGATTGTGTGGAATGATTACCTGATTTGATTGTGATGTACTTGTACTGGTTCTCCAGTTAAGCTTTTTAATTATGTATATGTTGGGCTCAGAAATCGAAAAGCGACCACACCGCGTTGTGGTTGTTTTAAAAATAACAAGAAGGCGAAATTTTGCGTTTGGATTTTACCCTAACCTAACCCAATCCAAACTAACCTAACCTAACCCAATCCAAACTAACCTAATCCTATCCAAACTAACCTAACCTAGCCTAACCCGATCCAAACTAGCCGAACCTAACCTGTAGCAAAATCTCGCTTCTGGTTATTTTCAAAACAACTACAACGCGATGTGGTCGCTTTTCGACTTCTGAGCCAAACATATATACAGATCACCAAACTGTAGCTTCTTAAACCAAAGGAACTTAAGAGCCTTAATTGACCCTAGCCACCTCCCTGTCATGGTGGAAAACTATGGTGACATCAACTGGAGAAATGAAACCATGACAAATGACCTAAATAATCCAGCCACTCTTTTTGTAGAAACTCTGAGAGATAATTTTCTTTCCAACATGTTAAAGATCCGACTCACTACAGAGGGAAACAAACACCCAAACCGCTGGACTTCATCATAACTAACGAGGAGGGTAGGGTGGCCAATCTGGAACATCTAGACCCCGTTGGCACCAGTCACCATGTAATGCTTCCTTCAGATTTAATTGTTAATTGGTTTATAACAAAACCAGTCCAAGGGTCAAATATTACAAGGTCAATTGCGAAGGGATGAGGGAGGAGATGAGGGGTATTCACTGGCCTAGCTCATTAAGATATAAGAACGCAGACACTATGCTGAATACCACAGTTTGCACTTGATCACACACGTTACTGAGGTGAGGGTAAGGAGTACTGACTCTCCCTCAAGGCGCATGGCTGGGTGACGCAATGCTCCCCACCCGCTGCTCCTCTACGTCACGCAAACCAAACTAGTTCTCGTACGTTAATACTACAAACCAGTTGTACCTATGTCGGATTTTTAAAATAATTGACCTTATGGGACCTCGTTCATATCGGCTGGTGTTCGTAAGTCGGACGTCTGTAACTCGTGGACCCACTGTATTATATAAATCATATTAAAACAATAGGATTACACAAAAGATGTATTAGCTGAATATAGATCGAGGTACTGTATATTAAGTATTATTGTTTGGTTGCCATTGATATATATATACAGTATAGTGTATTATGTATTAGAGTGTATAGTTATGTATGATTGATGCTACTGTAAGAGATCATTATACATAGATGGTATATTGACTTGTATATATGAATTTATTTTTCTATGATTGTTGTATGTCATTTCAGTAACCTCGACTACCTACCAAGATGTATCTATTACCAACGTCACTACAGTAGTACCACTCCTGAACGATGGTGAGTGTTGAGCCACAGCTTTTCTCTGATTGTGTTGAATATATCCATCCATATATTTGCCAACTGCTCATAACAGAGACGTGACCGACCGCCCAAGCGCCTAATGAGCCGATCAGTGGCGAAGAGGATAAAAGTAAAAGTAAAAAAAGTAATTTAGCTGAACAGGAGCTTTCATTATCTAGAATTATTTCTTGAGATTAATATAAACAGTAACTTTATCAGACCTTTCTGAAGGGAAGGTATAATTAGTTGTATCTTTATCTATAAGATGAGATGGTTCAACACAATCCCTGCTATATGAGATACAATATCCTGCCCTTTCTTCATGTGATGTGTCATTACAACTTCACTTGTCAGTTGTCTTACACTGTCAGGCTACTGCACACACACACACACACACACACACACACACACACACACACACACACACACACACATTCTGTTTAAGTATTTGTTATCCTCCCATGCTACACTCTCTCTTTGGTTTCTCTGTTCATGTTTGGACCATTACCTTACGACACTGCTCTCTACATTATAAAACACACTCATCTACATTGCATACTACTTCACTTTTAGTCATTCCTTACTCTTGCACCTCAGTCCTCTTACTCTTCTAAGTCTTACTCTTGCCCATCTTACTCTCACCAGTCTTACTCTCATCAGTCTTACTCTCATCAGTCTTATTCTCACCAGTCTTACTCTCACCAATCTTATTCTCACCAGTCTTACTCTCACCAGTCATACTCTCACCAGTCATACTCTCACCAGTCTTACTCTCACCAGTCATACTCTCACCACTCATACTCTCACCAGTCTTACTCCCACCAATCATACTCTCACCAGTCTTACTCCCACCAATCATACTCTCACCAGTCTTACTCCCACCAATCATACTCTCATCAGTCTTACTCTCACCAGTCATACTCTCACCAGTCATACTCTCACCAGTCATACTCTCACCAGTCTTACTCTCACCAGTCATACTCTCACCAGTCATACTCTCACCAGTCAGTCTTACTCTCACCATTCTTACTCTCACCAATCTTACTCTCACCAATCATACTCTCACCAGTCTTACTCTCACCAATCATACTCTCATCAGTCTTACTCTCACCAGTCTTACTCTCACCAATCTTACTCTCACCAATCATACTCTCACCAGTCTTACTCTCACCAGTCATACTCTCACCAGTCATACTCTCACCAGTCATACTCTCACCAGTCTTACTCTCACCAGTCATACTCTCACCACTCATACTCTCACCAGTCTTACTCCCACCAATCATACTCTCACCAGTCTTACTCCCACCAATCATACTCTCACCAGTCTTACTCCCACCAATCATACTCTCATCAGTCTTACTCTCACCAGTCATACTCTCATCAGTCATACTCTCACCAGTCTTACTCCCACCAATCATACTCTCACCAGTCTTACTCCCACCAATCATACTCTCATCAGTCTTACTCTCACCAGTCATACTCTCACCAGTCATACTCTCACCAGTCATACTCTCACCAGTCTTACTCTCACCAGTCATACTCTCACCACTCATACTCTCACCAGTCATACTCTCACCAGTCTTACTCTCACCATTCTTACTCTCACCAATCTTACTCTCACCAATCATACTCTCACCAGTCTTACTCTCACCAATCATACTCTCATCAGTCTTACTCTCACCAGTCTTACTCTCACCAATCTTACTCTCACCAATCATACTCTCACCAGTCTTACTCTCACCAGTCATACTCTCACCAGTCATATTTCATCAGTCTTTACTCTCACGAGTCATACTCTCACCAGTCTTACTCTCACCAGTCATACTCTCATCAGTCTTACTCCTCACCAGTCATCATACTCTCACCAGTCTTTACTCTCACCCAGCGTCTTGGTTCTCACCACCAATCATACTTCACCAGTCTTACTCTCACCAGTCTTTCATTCTCACCAGTCATACTCTCATCAGTCTTTACTCTCACCAGTCACATTTCTCACCAGTCATACTCTCACCAGTCATACTCTCACCAGTCATACTCTCACCAGTCATACTCTCATCAGTCTTACTCTCACCAGTCTTGCTCTCAGCAGTCTTACTCTCACCAGTCATACTCTCACCAGTCTTACTCTCATCAGTCTTACTCTCAGCAGTCTTGCTCTCAGCAGTCTTACTCTCACCAGTCATACTCTCACCAGTCATACTCTCATCAGTCTTACTCCCACCAGTCATACTCTCATCAGTCTTACTCTCACCAGTCATACTCTCATCAGTCTTACTCCCACCAGTCATACTCTCATCAGTCTTACTCTCACCAGTCGCCCCACTCTCACCAGTCATACTCTCACCAGTCTTACTCTCACCAGTCTTACTCTCACCAGTCATACTCTCACCAGTCTGCACTCTCCACCAGTCTTACTCTCACCAGTCTCACCCCACTCTCACCAGTCCCCTCACCAGTCGCCTCTCACCAGTCTTGCTCTCACCAGTCCCTCATCCAGCCTCACTGATCCTCTCACCAGTCATACTCTCACCAGTCCTTGCTCTCACCAGTGCCTCTCACCAGTCCCTCTCACCAGCTCATGCCTCACCAGTCCCCTCTCACCAGTCAGCCTCTCACCAGTCTTACTCTCACCAGTCCTACTCTCACCAGTCTTGCTCACCAGTCATACCTCACCAGTCCCACTCCACCAGTCTTACTCTCACCAGTCATCCTCTCCACCAGTCCCACTCTCACCAGTGCCTCTCACCAGTCTTACTCTCACCAGTCCTCTCACCAGTCCCCACTCTCACCAGTCTTACTCTCACCAGTCCCTCTCACCAGTCTTACTCTCACCAATCATACTCTCACCATGCCTCTCACCAGTGCCCACTCACCAGTCATGCCTCACCAGTCCTCTCACCAGTCCCCTCACCAGTGCCTCACCAGTCTTGCTCTCACCAGTCATCCCTCACCAGTCTTACTCTCACCAGTCATACTCTCACCAGTCCCATTCTCACCAGTCCCTGTCTCACCAGTCTTACTCTCACCAGTCTTACTCTCACCAGTCTTGCTCACCAGTCTTACTCTCACCAGTCATACTCTCACCAGTGCCTCTCACCAGTCCCACTCTCACCAGTCTTACTCTCACCAGTGCCTCTCACCAGTCCCACTCTCACCAGTCCCTGCTCACCAGTCCTCTCCCTCCCACCAGTCATACTCACATCGCCCTCACCAGTCTCACTCTCACCAGTGCCTCACCAGTCTTCTCTCACCAGCCTTACTCTCACCAGATGCCTCTCACCAGTGCTTCACCAGTCAACTCTCACAGTCTTACTCTCACCAGTCACTCTCACCAGTACTCCCAGTCTTACTCTCACCAGTCTGCCTCCACCAGTCCCTCCAGTCTTGCTCATACTCTCACCAGTCTTCACTTCTCACCAGTCATACTCATCCAGTCTACTCTCTCACCAGTCTTCTCACCAGTCTTCACCTACTCACAGTCCTTCACCAGTCTTACTCACCAGTCTTCACCAGTCTTACTCTCACCAGTCATACTCTCACCAGTCTTACTCACCAGTCTTACTCACCAGTCTTACTCACCAGTCTTCCGTCTCTCACCAGTCATACTCTCCAGTCTTACTCTCACCAGTCCTTACTCTCACCAGTCTTACTCCTCACCAGTCTTACTCCACCAGTCTTACTCACCAGTCTTACTCACCAGTCTTCTCACCAGTCATCTCCAGTCTTACTCTCCCAGTCGCCTCTCACCAGTCTTACTCACCAGTGCCTCCTCACCAGTCCACTCTCACCAGTCCCACTCTCACCAGTGCCTCCCAGTCACCCACTCTCACCAGTGCCTCTACCAGTCGCCTCACCAGTCATGCCTCACCAGTCTTACTCACCAGTCTTACTCTCACCAGTCATACTCTCACCAGTCTTACTCTCACCAGTCTTACTCTCCACCAGTCATACTCTCACCAGTCTTACTCACCAGTCCTCTCACCAGTCTTACTCTCACCAGTCTTACTCTCACCAGTCCCCTCTCACCAGTCATTCTCACCAGTCATACTCTCACCAGTGCCTCTCACCAGTCCCTCTCACCAGTGCCTCTCACCAGTCATACTCTCACCAGTCTCCCACCAGTCTTCTCTCACCAGTCTACTCTCACCAGTCGCCTCTCACCAGTCTTACTCTCAGTCATACTCTCATCAGTCTTATTACCAGTCTTGCTCTCACCAGTCTTACTTTCTCACCAGTCATACTCTCTCACCAGTCTTACTCTCACCAGTCTGCCCTTCCATCCACCAGTCACCAGTCTTTTCCAGTCTTACTCACCAGTCTTACTCTCACCAGTCACCCTCCAGTCTTCTCTCACCAGTCCTTCTCACCTCTCTCTCCCAGTCTTACTCCACCAGTCATACTCACCAGTCTTACTCTCCACCAGTCTTACTCACCAGTCTTACTCTCACCAGTCTTCCACAGTCTTCTCACCAGTCTTACTCCACCAGTCTTACTCCACCAGTCCATCCAGTCTTCTCACCAGTCTTACTCTCTCACCAGGTACTCTCTCCAATCATACTCTCACCAGTCACCCCTCTCACCATCTTACTCTCACCAGTCTTATTCTCACCAGTCCTCACTCTCACCAGTCATGCTCACCAGTGCCCCTCTCAGTCTTACTCCCGTCTCCTCACCGTCCCTCCTCACCAGTCTTACTCTCACCAGTCTTACTCTCACCAGTGCCTCTCACCAGTCTTACTCTCACCAGTCACCCCACTCTCACAGTCATGCCCTCACCAGACATACTCTCACCATACTCTCACCAGTGCCCCTCTCACCAGTCCATCACTCTCACCAGTGCCTCTCACCACTCCCCCTCTCACCAGTCAGCCTCAGTCCTCACCAGTCGCCTCCTCACCAGTCTTACTCTCACCAGTCTTACTCTCACCAGTCATACTCTCCAGTCTTCTCACCAGTCTTACTCTCACCAGTCCTCACTCTCGCCAGTCTTACTCTCA